GCTTGATTCAGAGTTTTGATTTTTAGATATTCATTTAGGTAATCTCTTGTCGTTTCCTTATTGGGCTTTGCCAAGCCTTTTTATCATCATTCTCTTTCTCACTTAAAGTGTTCAACTATTCTCTACTAAGTTCCACTACTAATTTTGGTTGGACTTCTATTGCCTCTTCCTTCATTTTTAATTTTAACGTAGCCATATAGCATTATCTAGCCATGGGCTGGTTAGTCAGGTTTTCACCTATTTCACATAGAGTTAAAAATTTCACTTTTAGATGAGATGTTGATCTATCATCTTCAAAAATGTTTGGCTAGGCCTTCTTAAGATGATATTATAGGCTAAAAGAATATCTATAACCATAAACTCGATCATAGCTGTGATTGTTTTTGGCTCAGCTCCTAGGGTGATAGGTAACTTTATAGTTCTTAACACAGAGACGTGCTCATTTTCAAACATGACTAAGGTCATCTAATGTGGCCTGAACTGGTCATTAGATATTCCCATCTTTCTCATCTTGCTATAGTATAACACATTACTTGAGTTATCATTGTCAAAGTAGATCTTTCTAGCTATATGGTTGTAAAGTATGGCACTGATAACTATCCCATAATTTTATGGGAATCAATATTCTTTAGGTCTTTCATCAAGAAAAAGATCAACTCTTCTTTCCAGTATTTAGTCTTCTTAGTTGAAAAGCCTATCGCTAAAATTGCCCATTTATTAACTTTATTTTTAGCTAAGGTTGAAGTTTCTCCAATAATGACATTGATAACCCTAACAATAAGTTAGTTCGTATTGTGCTCTCTTTGCTCTTCAACTCGACCAAAATTTTTCCCATCATTTTTCTAACCACAATCAACTTGATTATAATAGTTTTTTTCTAATGGTTTTCATATTCCTCTTTTTTAATAATTCCTATTCCTTTTCTATCTCAAGTTTTCCATGAACATATGTAGTCTACCCCTTGCGATGAGGTTTTCTATATCATTCATCAATTTCGCATTCTTTAATAGTGTAGCCATGGCCCTTATGAAATGCACATTTTTTTGTTTGATCTCTTTAGTTGTTTTGCCTTATAAGCCTAAGCTACCTCAATTATGGATCTCTTTCTATCTACACCAATAACCTTTCACAGAAAATATTCTAAGGGGTATATTGATCATATTTTTTATCCGAGCTCCTGGCTCTTGTATATCCCATTATGTGTGGTTTTTTCCCTTTTTGAGAGCTTTCTACCTCTTTACCTTATTTCTTACTCAGGTGGTTAAGAATTTTTCTTATTCTATCTTTCTTAAAAGCCATTGTTTCCATAACATTAATGTGTTGCTCAACTTTTGTAAGGAGCTTTTACATTATCTTTGAGGGTTTTAAAAAGAAGGCATAGTTGAATTGGTATTTTTTATCATCCAAGCCTCTTAAGAGATTGACCACTGCAATTGATTACATTAGGTCTTTGTCCTATAGAGCATTTATGTTGAATACCGTTATGAGAGCATTTACTTAGCGCAACAAAAATATTTGAACAAAATATAGACCAGGGTAGGCTCTTATTAAAAAGAACACAAGTCAGGAACAAAGGCTCGAGATCATTCTGACATCTGTATTTCGACGTGCAAGTTAATGATGTAAACGAATATAGAGGAAAGAGAGCAAGAATACTAAAAATAAGAAAAAAGGGTTACTTGCCTCACCTGTGAAGGAATAAGAGATATTTATACCTAAGATGATGTGGCATGTGATATCTGACTTGACGTGGAGGATGCCTACATGGGCATAGGTGGAGTGGTAGCTGCCAAACACATCAGTAGGCCCATTTAGAGATGCATAGATCACAACAGGGATCCATGTTAACAATAGGTAGTAAGAGTTCGACAATATCAATTGTGTGCCTCCATCAATGACTTGATCATGTCAGGTTTATCTTTTACTAACTGTATGAGGATATCAAGTCAATAAAGAGATAGAAATATACCAGGTCGACCCAAAAACTTAAATACCCCAATTAAAAGATACTATTCAAATATCCATTTTACCTTTAAGGTGAATAATGTCTACATCAACTTCCCTTCCATAACACAAAGATGAAAAGAAGTTTTTTTCCCTACTTTTGTTGTTTTTAAGCAAAGAAAAAAAAGATTCAAGGTACATCCATTTATGTAATGTAATATTCAAAAACTAAACTTTATAAATTAGAAACAATGAATAAGATAAATAAAATAATAAAAATTGAAAAAAAAATCACATGGAAGTTAGGGTCATGTCAGCTAATTAAAGCATCAATGCTTTGCTTCTTCAACTTTTCTTCTCCAACCTTACCATACGGTATTGCATACAACAATATTATTAGGTACGTTTGTATTTAGTTTAATTATATTTAATTTTGTGTTTGGCTACATTATTTACATCTTAATTAGGTAGCAAAAAACAATAATGCTTACCCTAATATATTTATCTTTGAATTGTCTGCAATAACATGTTTGCAATTTAATATTATATTTTACTAAAAAAATTTATTATATAATGATAGTTTAGTTATCAAAAGTTTTATTGGCGACTAGTAATTATCATTACCTACAAGTTCAAAGTTTTGTTAGTTTTCATTTTGAAATTCTAAACTTTCGTCATTATTTACCGCCTCTATCGTTAGAAAAATATCCAGTTAATTCAGTTATTATTAAAATATTACATCAAGTTGCAAGTTTAAAAATCAAAATTCAAATTGCAATTCTTTCTTTTAGTCCTAAATTATGATTTTTTTATAAATTTTTTTTTTTAATTTTAAAAATTGCTCTTGTTCTTGTTTAGCATTGTGATTTACTTTTGGCATGTGCTAACTATAATAATGGCAATAATAACAAATGATATAATTTATATAGCAAAGAAAAGTTAATCTCTTCTCTCAAAATGTAAATTATCAACAATTTATCAGCCTTGTTCCCTTAAAGGAATTTGATGAGATAAAAATGACATCTCAATAAAACGAAACCAATGATTCTTTTTATTCCTTTTTCGATGATACAAAATAAATGGAAAATGATTAACAACCCAGGTTCAACTTAATTGTTATTCTTCTTTTTAGGAGGGTTTAGGATCTTCCTCTTTTTAAATTTTTTACATGTACAATAAAAATATAAAAAATTTTAAATAATAACAAAATTTTAAATTTAAATCAAATTTTAATTCAATTAATTCATATAATTATTTTTAAAAATTGACATCTAATAAATCTGAAATTTAAATTTTTAACATGTGCAACTCCTTTCTTTCTCTTCAGGTTACAACCTCATTTATTAAAAAAAAAATCTAGCTAATACTTTGAGTAAAACATTAGGTATTATAACTCAAATTTCTGCCACAATTAGATTATATATATACAAATACTTTCTCATGTACAGAAATAAAAAAAAAAAAAAATTCTATAAGTCGACAGTTGTAAAGGTTATAATGTATATTTTTTATAACAAATCCAACAAGAACACAAAAAAAGAAAATTACTAACCAAGGAAGAACAGATTCGGTTGAACCATAATTATAATTGTTTGGTTGAACCAGAACTATATGGTAGGGACCTTTATATGGTCTATTATTTCTTAAGTTATCCTTTTAATGTCACATTATAATTATGAACTAGATCTTAGCAATCAAACCAAAATATTAAGACTCAACGGCTATATTAGAATCATATTTTTCAAAATCCAAAACCCAATCAAATCCTACAACAAATTTAAAGGGGAAACGAGTGAAAGGTAGCAATCATTATAAAGGGGAAGTAAGGAGTGGGGAAAATGAACTAAAAACATCCTTTTTCTTTCGTGTCACATGGAAAAGATGCTAGAAAGTGAAAAAAAAAAAAAAAAACAAAAAAAAAGCCGTGTTTATCACACTATTAGTGGAGAAATTAACATCATTTCATCATGGCATGAAGTTGGATTTTTTTTTTTTTCTTATTTATGAGCCCATGAACCCATGAAAAGTAGGTTCCACCAGTAAATTAACTAACCCAATGTGACCCCACCAACAAAATTTGACCTATTTAATCAATTAATTGCATCAATGTATTCTTTCTTTACATTTGATCTTACGTTATGCTAAAAAGAATTGGGTTAATGAAGGAATTGGAAGATCCTTCGTCTAAATTCTCATACTTTGTTGATTGCCAATATTTTTCGTTTATAAAGTGGTCATAGAAGGATGACAATAAGAGCTTGATTCACTTTAAAAACTACTTTTCTTCTACATAATAGCAATTTATCACCTAGGGTACTTGTTTTTTTTTAATAAAAATCGTAATTTAAAAATAAAAAATTTTTAAATTTTAAATTTGATAAATATTATTTTTAAAAATAATTATATAAATTAATTGTATTAAGTTTTAGATTTAAAATACTTGTTGTTGCTATTTTTGTAATGTTATTTATTGATATAAAATGAAAAAAATGATATTATTTTACCTTGGCTTTTCTTTTTCCTTTTATGAGAAATAAAATATCAATTATACTTGAAAAAAAAGTAAAATGGGGAATAGCAATATCAAATTAACTATCATGGATGTTAATATTCGATAAAAAAAAAAAATGAGCACTTTTGACTTTATTTTTTAAGAAAAATCAACAAATAATTTAAAAGTATAAGATAAATTTGAGAAAGATAATGTCTACAGAATTTTATTACAAACATGGGAAACATCTCGTCTTCATGTGAAGCGTCCCTTAAGTTGAAAATTTGACATGTTCAAGATTCGAACATGTTTTTGACTCTCTGTTTTTAAAACCAATGACTTTTTTTAGAGAAAAAAAAGTTAGGCAATGAAAATGGTCCCCTAAACGACCACTTGACTTCCCATAAAAAATACAAAACAAAAAAACAATAGAAAGATTATTACAGAGAAAAAACTCTCGTCATCCACTTGTAGCATACGGATTCATCCACGTGTTCATGTGATGGAATGCGACCCCACAAATAAAAATCAAAGACCCCACTTAAACCTCTTGTCAGCCCCTCACATTTCAAAGTTGGTAAGGATTGGAGTAACATCTTCGGTGTTTGGCTTAAGTTTCACACCAAAGAGAGAAGAAAAAAAAAATGCAGAAGCTAGAGGATGGAATTTTGTGTATATTGTTTTCCGCTTTTGACCCTCCATATTTACTTAATTTTCGCACTTACAGCACCTGAAAGTCCAAAGACACTGAGAGAGAGAGAGAATTGTTGTTGTTTTTTTTCATGGAGGCGAGCTTTGAAATGGAAGCTGTGATAGAGTTTTTGAGGAAGAATGGATTGAAAGAAGCTGAGAAAGCACTTGAGGAAGATATGACGGAGAAAAATGAACAAGAAGTGGGTGCTTTTGATTTTGAGAAATTCTTGTTCCCCATGCCCCCGCCGGTCAAGATTCCAGGGACCCTCCGGCGATCAGAGGTGGATGAGAAAGTGAAGTCAAGTGATGGGTCGGATTCAGATGGTGATGAGTTTGTCAGCTTGAGCTCTTCTACTAGTGATGTTTGCTCTTCAGGTGAAAAGAACTTTGGTTTTTAATTTTGTTTGATCTTTTAATGGTTGGAATTAAGTTGGTATTAAAAATGCTTAGCTAAATTTGTTTTTATTTCATATAAATTTTTTTTTTCAAATTCTTTTGCTCTTTCAGTGATTGTTTTAAGTTGGAATTTTGTTTTTAGAAACTGACTTTTGTTTTATATTTTTTTTAATTCTTTTTCTATTTTTGTGATTTTTTAGTTAAAATTTGATTGGTTTTACTTTAATCATGCTTAACTTAATTGGTCTTTGATCAACTTGATTTTGTTTGAAAGATTCTAGCTTGATCATCAACCTTCATTGTTTTTCTGGTTGCTTGTTGAGTTTTAGGTGATGTAAGCAACAGGCAAATTGCTATGAATAAAGTTAAGCGAAGGCCTTTCTCTTTTTCCCTTTTTATCTTTTTCTCGTGTGGGTTCGAATTTGAATGGATTGTTTACTTGCTCATCTCCTTTCCTGTTTTAATTTTAATGGATCTTTATAACTGATGATTCGATTTTAAGATTGCTATAAGGTCACAAAACTTAGTTTAATTTCTTGTGAATTCTTATAGTTTATAGAGCAAATTTGTGAATTGTTGTGTAAATGTCTTGAAACCAGATGGGTTATTCATCTTTCTTTTTGATTTGGGGGAGTGGGATTCGAACCTGCTCTGTTGAGCGAAAGGTCATACATCAACTCATTGAGTTAAATGATCGGATGTATGGGTTGTTCATCTTAAGTGATTAGAGATGGTGCTTTTTCTCTTTTTAATTAACGTTTTCCGGTAGTAGACTCCAATTATGCTGCTTATGCATTGTAAATCTCCTTGAACTTCTCCCAATAAATGGAATCTCTTTTCACCACCATCTTATTCTACTAGTGCTTTTTTCTTACAGCTATGCAAGGATCACCTTTTTTTTTTGTTTGAGACATGCACGCCTCATTGCCATCTAGTTTTTCCATGGAGGTTGTGTGAGAAATTTTATCAATTCTGTTTGCTACTTCTGCCTTTCATCATTGCCATTTCTAAGTCACTGCCAAGTACTAATTAATAGATCCTTCTGTACTTTTAAAAATACCACCAAAAAAAAAAAAAAAAGAAAAACCTTACATGTTCCAATTTTATTTAAGGAATTATGCAACAGTCTGAAATTGTTATTATTGTTTTCTTATTTGGCCCTATTTTCAATATCTAGGTGGCTGCTGGGATGAATGTGTTAGTTAATGTGCATAACAGCAATCCAACTGTTTTTCATTTTGCAGAGTTTGTGAATCCATATGGACTTCATTCTGGCTCTCAGGCTGATTCTGATACTTCATCAGATAGATTATCTCAATTTGGAACGGCACGCGACTATCCTGATTTTGACATGCAGAATGACTTGGACTGGTATAATGAGAAGGACTTCATGACTCCATGCTTTGCTGGGTCAGACTTCTATAACTGTCCAAGTCAGGATAAGTTTGTCACAACTTTGGAGACAGAGAAGCAACATGATAATAAACCGAGTTCACATAACAAATCTGAAGAATTTCAAACAGAAGTGGGCACTGATTACTTGGACAAGCCACGCTTTTATAATATGGCCTGCATAAATGGCGAAAATGAGGTTCAAATGATCGATTATTATCATTTTGATAAATGTAATGGGATTGAAGGGGACATTGAACGAGAGCTGAAGAATTGTGGTTATGGTTGTTCATTTCCCCTTTGCAAATGTTGTGAGGGGTCCTGTGTTTATGATGAAAATCCCATGAACTTCAGCTACATGAGCTCCAAAGAAACTGATTTGGATGATCTTCAGTTAAAGGCTACTGGAGAGGTTAATGCAGATTATAATAGAGCTTCTGAACATAAATCTAACAAGAATCTTTACTCTGCCAGAAGGGGTTCAAATGATTGGATTGATGGGTTTAAAGGTGATTCTAACTTAGTGCACAAGATTGGCGAGAAAGATTTGTTGCAGAAAACAGTTGATGGTTATGGAGTTGAAGGTGATGAATACTATGGAGAACTTAGTGAACCTCAGGCTGCTGCCGAAGAAGAGGGTGATGCTACTGATGAACTTCTGATGTACTCTAATGATGATGAATATGAAGTATTCAATTTGCGAATCATTCACAGGAAAAACAGGTTAGCTGCTATACTATTTCTCAGATTGCTGATGTTAATTAAGCTAATATAGGATTTTTTTATAGAGCTAAGCAAATTGGTGAGTAAACTTGTTTAAAATTGATAAGTTGCAGACGAAATTTATGTTCGTATTCAAATTCTCGATGATCATAAACTAATCAACAGGTCTCCAAATAACTATAGTTAAATTTTCTCTCTCAAAATGCTAATATACAAAGCCCATATTACTGGAGTTCACATAAATAAAGTGCAAATAAAGAAAAACTATTTGCTAAATTTGGTCTTCCATCTCATTCTTACGTGGACAGGACAGACTTGCTGCTAGAATATTTTGTCATGTTATATAGCTCATGCTGGCACTAAACTCACCATGCTAAAAGTTCTTTCTTTATAGATATTTGAGGACAATGCACTGCAGGTTAATATGCGGAAATCAGTATAACTCATGAATTATACTATCTCTAGGACTGGATTTGAAGAAAACAAGGACCTGCCTATAGTGCTAAATAACGTCATTGCTGGAAGATATTATGTAACAGAATACCTAGGTTCAGCTGCTTTTAGTAAGGTTGTTCGAGCACATGATCTTCTCATGGGAATGGATGTTTGCCTGAAGATCATTAAAAATGATAAAGATTTTTTTGACCAAAGTTTGGATGAAATTAAACTACTAAAGCTTGTCAATAAGCATGACCCTGGAGATGAGCACCACATTTTGCGTCTCTATGACTACTTCTATCATCAGGTATGTTTAAAGAGTAAATTAGTAATTCTTTCCACCCCATTGCAAAAAATATGGACTGCACTTGAAACAGTCACTTGTTTAGTAAAATGGCTATAGCCACCCCATCTCACCATTCTGAGTTTCAAAAAATACCATTTCATTAGTGTTTATTTTGTTGAGCACTATTTTGTACATATTGGATACTAATGATTTCTTTATGGCTTATGCAAAATCTGTGTAGGAACATCTGTTCATCGTCTGTGAACTCCTTCGAGCAAACTTGTATGAATTTCAGAAATTCAATCAAGAATCTGGTGGAGAACCATATTTTACCCTCAGCCGGCTGCAGGTTTGTTCAAATGGATATTGGCTCAGCCAAGATGTTTTAGTTCATTGTTTCTCTTTTTTGTAGTTAGTTATATATTTCTGAACTATAAACCCTTATCTGGGATTGTTTGTTAAGTGATAAATTTTTAGGTTAACTCAAATAATACATCCAGCATGAGACAATAATTTGCTGTTGATATTCTCTCACACAGGTCATAACTCGTCAGTGTTTGGAGGCACTTGATTACTTACATGGCTTGGGAATTATTCACTGTGATCTAAAGCCCGAGAACATCCTTATCAAAAGTTATAGAAGATGTGAGATAAAGATTATTGATCTTGGAAGCAGTTGCTTTCGGACTGACAATCTGTGCCTATATGTTCAATCTCGTTCCTATAGAGCGCCTGAAGTCATCCTTGGCCTCTCATATGACCAGAAGATTGACCTATGGTCTCTTGGATGTATCCTTGCCGAGCTATGCTCTGGGGAGGTTTGTCATATTTTATCATAGTTTGGCAATGTCTTGAATTAAAGCTAACCAAATTAATGCTGATTCCATCTGATGACTGCCTTCAAGTTTCTTACAAACATCTTATTGGCTTCCTTTACTTCTGATTTTTCTACCAATTTTAAGTAGTTATTCCTTTGGAAGCAATTTTATCAGTGACTCACTTTTAAGTACCCGTGTCCTTTTACAGGTCCTGTTTCCAAATGATGCAGTCGTAATGATCCTCGCACAGATGGTTGGAATGCTAGGTCCTATTGATATGGAGATGTTGGAGAATGGACAAGAGACATACAAGTATTTCACAAAAGAATATGATCTGTACCATATAAATGAGGTTTGTTTATGATTTCTTTTTAAACCTACAAGTATTTCACCAATTATAGGTTTGAGGGCAGTCAATTTTTTAGTGAACTATGAGATTTACTGGTTAGTTCATCCAACTTAATTTAGGACGAACTCATGCTGTTTTTTTTTCTGTCCAGGAGACTAACCAATTAGAATACATTATTTCTGAGGAGTCTTCACTGGAGCATCATATTCAAGTTTCTGATGTCGGGTTTATCGATTTTGTTAAACATTTGCTTCAGATGAATCCTCAAAGGCGCCCAACTGCAAGGGAGGCATTAGAACACCCATGGCTTTCGTACTCGTACTGAACCAAAACTCCCTAAATTGCTGTTGGGATGACCTTTTCTGTGAGTATTACACATTCATCGAGGAATGGAATTATATGGGGACAAGGCCAACTGTATTTCGGATTTCAATTTTGGTTTTATGTGTATAGCAATACTCATATTTATTCACATTCTTTTTTGTACAAAACTCTTCCCCCTCTACTTTGTTGGGGTCGTAAAAAACAAGCCCTTTTGATTTGAGTGACAAGAAAGATACAATAAAAATCATTTTAGTTGAACAATCTCATGTTATGCTGCATAAGCAACTCATTTTTTCCATTTTAATTCATTTATCTGCATCGGATTCAATACTTTATCCAATAAGTGTTCATCAGCCATAGAGCTATGTGATACATCACTGCCTTTTTGTTGACTTGAGTTTTCGCGAAGAATCCCCCTCAGGTGCCTTTTGTTTCAACATCCACAGGAAACATCTCGGAAGCTGTATGAAGTCGTGATTGTCACATACTTAGTTGTGAATGTCTGGTCATGCAAACCCAATGAAACTCCAAAGTCTCTTATTATCTGTCTTTAGGTTAAGCAAGGCATCAAGTAGATTTGCTTAAAGGGATTTTTGGGTAGTGACAACAATGATAGCTGTCAATAGATATTAAATCGGGAAAAGGATCATGTCCAAATTAATGATTGAAATTTGACTAGCATAAGTAAAAGTAGAAAAGTTTGATTATACTTTGTAACAAGAAAAAGATTGTCAATTAGGAGATAAAAGTTGATGAATTTAGTATAAGAAAACAAACCAACAATTTCAATTCTAGTTGTATTATAAAGAACAAAGAACAAAACATTGCAACAACAAGATTTCCACATTCTTGTCCAAAAGAGATGCAGACAGAATCGTCATAATCTAATATCTATTTGCCAGCACATTCCATTTTTTCTCTCGTTCTAAATTCTTAATGTCTGCTTCGTATATTTTCTATTTTATAAACTAATTATTAAAAACTATAGTGACATAAACTAGAATCTATTTCCCGTAAAAATTATTTCAGTTGATAAATAAAAAAAACCTTTTTTAATCAAAGTTTGATTCTTGTTAGAACACTTTGAAGGTATAATACTGAATGTATCAAATCCATATAAAAAAAAATACATGCTTAATTTAAAAAAAAATACATAAAGTAACATTACTAAAATTGTCTTGTCAATCTAGATGAAGTAAATTTGATTTTAATAAATAATTGTATTACTAATTTTGGCAGTATCAATAAAATACCTATGGTTATTATTTTCATTCAAACTGATGTTATAAAATTATCATATTATTATACTCCGAACCATTTGATTTATTGTGATTTATATGATGCTTTGTTAAGATCATCCATAGTTAGAATATACAATTTTTAATTTCAAAATACTGAACATAATATATGGAAAGATAAATGAGGCTTTTGTACAAATATATATATATATATATATATATATATATACATATGGTTAATTTCCATTTTTTGAATAGAAAATAGAAGAGGTGACGTGGAAAGTGAGATCATGTAATCTGAGTAGGCTTTGGGACAGTAGATTCCTCCCTCAAGTAGTAATTAGCAGCGAAGTTTGTCTCGCATGATTGGCTGATTCGATCCAACAAAATTTCACTAGTTTCACTTTCTTTGTTTCTTCCAGTGTTTTACACCACCACTTTCTCTTCTAGCCCGTGTAATCCACTTCCACTCTGCACTTTAATTCTTGATTATATTCTAGGTTTAATTCTATTGATTAAATGCAACAACAAACAAAATTAATTCTTTTGAATTTTCTTCAAAATTTTACCTAAGAAAATAAACCTTTAATGCCTAACTTAGCATTGACTAAAATAGTTTGCATACTTGATATGTTTTTAAAATTTGTAATTTAAAAAAAGTTCAAACAGGTAATTTTTTTTAAGGTGAATTAAATAAATAAAAATTAAGAGTTAAAAATAAATTAAAAATTAAAAAAATAAAAATTTGATAGCTAATCTTGGTCTTGGCATGTTTGAATTAAATTTCATGGTATGTTATCGGCTAAACAAACGAATTGCAATCTATTTCAATTAATTGCATGTGATTTCAAAAGTTTCATTTAATATAGGTGGTTGGTATCATTAAATAAGAATATTATGCTGTTAAATTTTTAAACAAACTAGTTGAATTGTATTTATTGCTCTCTTTCATTAAATTTAATGTTAAAATAACAGAAAAGTTTTAAATTTTTATTAAGGGATTAATTTTTTTTAAAGCAAAATTGAAGTGAAATTATTATAAATCATTATGTGTTTATATGTAACAAAATAAATTAACCACTATGGCTTAAAAGTTGGTTGGAGCTAGCAATTACTCAAATTTTTATTAAGATTATTAAAAGATTATAATATATGCATATTTGTTTAATTGATTATTGAATTCACGGTGATTGACCTATTTTTAACATACAATATGATTTTAGATCGGTTAAGTCAGTTCATTATAAGAATTATGAGATCAATTTCTCATCTCAAAATCAAATTTACTATTTTTAATCGAATAGGAAAGGTTTGAGGAGATTGGTCCACGGCAAGGTAAAAAAAAAGATTATGAAACAGACTTCAAGTTCAGCTAGCACTAAAGAAACCCAGGGCAAAGAAGAAACGGAGATCAAGATTATTATAGAGGAAACAAAGTCAAAGGGTAAGAAGAATGCAACTGGCCAAGAAAGGAAGAAATGAAACTAGCTTTTTAAAGAGCCGAGAATGAAAAACATGCTTTTAATCTTGAAATTATTGTAAATAATTTGTTATGAGGTTGAGCACTTAAGTTGACACTAAAATTCATATTATAAATACCATACTTTGAATTTAAAGAAAAATTTATTAAAGCAAAGCTTACCCTCTGCATCTTAATGTATATGTCTATTTTTCTACCGATTGAACAAATAAATTCATGTCTGAGAATTGGTCTTTTCACAAGAATCAATCTCGACCTAAATAAAGAAAAGAAAATCATTGATCAAAGGCCCAAAATCGATCTCGCCCAACTTGAATCAGTGGAAAATCTCGTATTGGCACCATTTTGTGAAAACAGCCAGGAAAATGCATACAAATCGAGGCTAAACTCTTTTATAAAGAACAACTAATACAATTGCTAAGAAATAATGTCAATCTTTTTTGCATGGATCCCATAAAATATGCTTGAGATAGATCCTTCAATAATAGTTCATAAATTGAATACTAACCCAAATATCAAATCAATTTCGCAGAAAAAACGGTGTTTTGCTTCTAAAAGAAAGATAGTAATTAAGGAAGAGGTTGATAAATTATTACAAGCTGTGTTCATCAAATAATCTTATTACCTAATTGAATAGCCAATGTAGTAATGGTGCAAAAAACATAATAAAAAGTGAAAAATATGTGTTGACTTCGTCGACTTGAATAAGGCCTCCCTAAAGGATAGTTTTCTTTTATCAAGTGCAAATGCACTAGTAAATGTTGATGCCAAGTTGTTCGATGAAATCACAAGATTCAAAGTTGGTTAAAGGCAAAGGTTGAAGTGTCTTCGTTTGTGTTCTTATACTCAAATTAGTGTTTAAAATTTAAATTATGAATGACGTGATCCTTTAAATAAACAAATATAAAAAAAGATTGTTAATACACAATTATTAAAAGTAATTGGTAAGAGCAAATGTCACGGACCTAAGGAAGAGTCATGAATCCCACATCGAACATAATAAGAGGGTCCCTGGGGTATAAAATGGTTCACACCATTTTCGCCTTGTGAGGTACCTTTTATAGGACAAAATCGTGAGGTCAGGGGGTCAGAGCGGACAATACCTCACAAGGGTGTAAACCGTGGCAGAAGGCTGATCTGGGACGCCGGAAGGGTGAATGCCCCGGTCCCGAAGCCACACAAGTTCGGAGCTTGAGTCTCGACCCGTGACACAAGCGCCATGACATTCCTTTTAAAAACTACTACATTTTAGACTCCCTTTTATTTCACATAAAATAATTTTTGAAAAATAATTTTTGTATTTTAAAGTGTTTGTTTGATAAAAAATTAACTGGTCAATAAAAAATAATTTATTAGTCAACAAAAATGAAATAATTTTTCTTGAAATTATGTTATCCTCTTCAAAAGGGAAAGATAATTTTTGAAAAATAGTTGTTATGAGTAAAATTATTTATTAATGTGTATAAATATAATTTTACTCAAGTTGAACCTTATACATGATTGTTCAAAGTTTAAACTTAATTTGACTCGATTCAAAATATTATTATATTAATAAATAATATTTTATTTAATTATACCTAAATTTTTAAAATATTAATATTAAAAGTCTTTTAATATTTTAATTTTCAATATTTTTATAGTTTTATTCAAGTAAGACTTTGAACATAATATTTTAAGCTTAAATTTTATTTAATTAGATTTAAAATATTATTATATTAATAACAATATTTTATTTAATTTTAATTAAATAAATTATAATATTAACATTAAAAGTCTTTTGATATTTCAAATTTAAATATTTTATTTTATATATTATTAAACATAAATATTTCAATATTTCAATAAAATAATATTATTTTAATATTTTAATAATAAATAATAACATATATAATAATATTTTTATTATTTTAATAATTAATGTTTAATAATAATATAATATTATTTTCTTAATATGAATTTTTTGATATTTCTTTTTTTTTTGTTTAAAATATATAATTTTACATTTTTATTTATTAAGAAATTTATATTACTATTTTAACAATAAAATAAGTCAAAATTATTTTTTGATTTACTAATAATAAAAATTGTAAATATTTTATTAGTATAAATATTTTGTTAATAAATATTAATATTTTAATATTAATAAAAATAATAATATTATTAAAATATAATTATTCTCAAATATTAATAATTTTAATAATAAATAATTTAATATACTTTAATAATAAATAACTTTTAATATTATTTAAAAATATTTTAAAAAACAATCAAATAATGAAAAAATACTTTTTTATTAATTCATTCAAATAATAAAAAAAATTTAAAATATAAATATTTTTAAAAAATATTTTTTGAAAATAAATTTATACGAAATAAACATCTTTTAACCTGTTTACGGAAGGCAAATTTACTTGCCCAAATACGACACACAAGTCAATAATTAATCCGAAGAAAACCTCGGAACACTCCCAAATTAGAAGAAAAAATTAAAAAAAAAAAAAGAAAAGAAAAGGCCAAGAACTACTCACTCGCCTAACTCAGAGCGTGGTTCAGCACACTTTCTCTCATTTCTCTCTCTATACTTTCTCGAATTTCCACCATGATCACAACTCTGATAAAACTGCTTAACTAAGATAGAGAAGAGACGAAAGCCTCTTCACCAAAGAAGAAGAAAGATTTTATCCGTTGAGTGATAACCGTATTTAACGAACCGATCCGGTTCCGGTAAAACCGTGCGCACGCTCAGCCGCCTCGCACCCGGTATCTTTCTTATCGTAAATTGTTCGAGTTTCGATGGCTGAGTTCACTCAGGCCGAGGTGTACTCGCCTCGGTCGACGCAAGTATGGAGGGCGTTTTTGAACTGGCTGGCCTTTTTCTTTCAGATCTTTGCTCAGATCATCAGAGCCGTTGGTCAATATCCTTTGCTTTCTTCTTCTTCGTCGACGACTTCGACTTCAACACACCGTTTCAAGCCCTTGCCTGTCGTTGACTCGACCGAGATCGAGTCTCCCGCTACGGTCGAGATCGCTGCCGTTTTGGACTCACATGTTCTCGCTGATGAAGACCACATCGAAAAACTCACGGTAGGAATTTTTTTTTTTTCAAAATTTTCCCTTTTTTACTAAATTAGATTCTTATTTTTCTTTCAGTTAAGCAATAAAAATGCTTTTTTTTTTTTGAGGAATCGGAGATTTTTAGTTTTTTTTATTTGTATCTATCAGCCAATTAGGGAGTTGAATCAATATATGAAAAGTTAATAACAAAAAATTATATCAGTTGTAGGTCTACAATTTATTTAACTGTCTCTTGTGCCTAATTTTCCGATGTGGAACTTCTGTTAAGAAGCATAAACCCATGAGGGTATAAAGATGCCAACTTTGATTACTTTAAGGTAATGTGTTCAAACCAGGTGAATGTGTAAAATAAAAAATATATATATATATATATATACTAAGTATCATAAATATTTTTATTGTTCGTTTTGTGTATCATTGTTTGCCGATGTTCTAGGTCTGATTCATGCTCCTGCAGGTAGTTCTTGACTTGGATGAAACTCTAGTATGCGCATACGAGACATCTAGTCTGCCTCCTTCCCTTCGTAATCAAGCAATGGATGCTGGGTTGAAGTGGTTTGAACTAGAATGTATGTCTTCGGACAAGGTTTGTTATGAATAATTCATTCTCTATTTTAATTGATGGTATTTATATCAGAGAGGCACTTTGTCATTTGGGTGCTTTGATCTTTAAAGGAATATGAAGGAAAACCTAAGATCAATTACATTACGGTGTTTGAGCGCCCGGGTTTGCAAGAATTTTTAAATCAACTAAGTGAATTTGCTGAGCTTGTACTATTTACTGCTGGCCTTGAAGGTTTGCTCATTATTACCCGTTTGATTTTTAACTTGTTACTCAAGTTTCTGCTTATATTTCTTCCCCCCACTGCCCTCTCCCTGCATTATCTCGTGACTTTTAATGGCTGCCCACAGGCTATGCTAGACCACTTGTTGACAGAATTGATGCTGAAAATCAATTTAGTCTTCGACTTTATAGGCCTTCTACAATTAGTACGTAAGTACTGCTTCCTATGCATGCTCCTTTTATAATCTTCTGCCCGACTTGCTCTCTGATTTGTAGATCAAAACAGAAGAAACCTATTCATCTTTTGTGTTACACATTTCTTTTCTGTGAAATTATACTGATACCGGTTCTTTTTATTTCATTGCCCATCATCTGCCTGGTCTTCTATACTATCCTAAATGGACCTTAATCATGATACTTCAGGGGGCTTCTCTCCCCCGGAACTCCATACATAAGGGTCAAAATCTGTATGTGTTGAACAATGCCTTGAATCCAAGGCTGGCTATTTGGTTACATGTATAAATTCATTTTTTTTTCCAGTTTATCTTGATGTAAGATGACATCAAATTTCTAGAATTTGAATCTCCAAAAAAAAAGAGATTATCTTTGAGTTTTGGGTAGGATTTCATAAGTTCGTTTTAAGCTGTGATCAGATGCTTTTGCTTAATGTTTGTACAGTAGCAATGCATTGGTGCTGATGTTAATGACTTGATATTTCAGTTTTGTTTGATAAAGTTTAGGAAAACATTATTAAGTCGTTTCGTTTCCTATCTAAAATATGAAAGGTATTTAATTTTTGGCCAAATAAAGGCATTAGTTAAGTTGTCCAAAAACTCCCAACATGCTTTGTGCCAAGCATAGATGTTTTAGGGCAAATGCGTGCTTCCTTTGTGTTGGATTTTGTTGTTTCATTTGGTGGTGAAACAAATGACATCGTGGTGATTATATGTCTAGTTCCACTGAAGATTTTGTTGTTTCATTTGGTAAAATTTTTCTTCTGACATAAACAGGGAGTATCGGGAGCATGTGAAAGATCTCTCCTGCCTATCTAGGGATTTAGGCCGAACTGTTATTGTAGACAACAATCCTTTCAGTTTCTTGTTGCAACCGCTAAATGGGATTCCATGCATTCCATTTTCTGCGGGGCAGCCACATGATACACAGGTAACAGGATTTGCATTAGTTAAATCTTGTTATCCTCATTCAATATCAATTTGTACACCATTTCTGTTTACTTACCTCTTCTACATCTGGTTTTGTGTTGAAAAGCTTCTGGATGTACTTCTTCCACTTCTCAAGCACCTTTCTCTGCAGAAAGATGTGAGGCCTGTTCTGTATGACAGGTTCCACATGCCTGAATGGTTTCAAAAGCAGGGTATCCCTGCTTCTAGTTGGTCAGCATAGGAAAAAGATCATATACAAGGCCTTCAATCAGATATTTACTTTTCATGCCAATCTCTATTGTCCAAAGGCAGCATCTTATTATAGGATTCATGACCTTTTGTATAGCATCTGAATGCTGGAAGTGTTAATGAAAGTCATCAGAGACTTGCAAAAGGATGAATGTGATGCTATCTCTTATTCGATTAGGTAAACCATTTACATATTTAGATCCACTAAAAATTCTTGATTCTTAGTGTAACTTTGCTTATAAGCTTGCAATTCTGTTGGATGTTTATGTATCTTTCAGAATTTTGTAAATTTCTTCTCTATCAGTGATTATTTGTAGTTTACACATCCTTTATTTGCTTGCTACTCTACTTTGTACAAGAAGCCACGGCTGCTAGGCTCTTATTGCCTAATTGAATTTTCGAAAATTTACAAGAGATCTTGCGAGAGATTTGAGCTGTGGCTCAGACAGAATAGATTAGGAAGTTTAGCCAAATGTCCCAAGTTTAATTCGTTTCTCTGAATGTATCAATGTATCAATGGATCAAGGAGGAAGAGAGAGAGAGAGCACCTGCAAGAATGTTTGTAAGATTATTTTGATCTGATATAAAAGAGGTCATGAACGTGAATGCCAGGATATTTCAAGTCACCAGCTGGGTTATGATGTTTTATAGCTTGAACAGTGTCCAAGTCTCCATTGAATTTAGCCACAACAGTTTTCGCAATGGTACAGTTTTGCTCATAACTCATGCTAACACTGCCGGGCATGGAATGCAAGGGAACAATCTTTTAAACACCCTTGCAGATGAAAACGTGTTCGATTAAGCTTCGTTGTTTTTTGCCCATGCCTCCTACAGTGACAGGCAAAAAAGGCCGCTTTGCCAGGGGTTAGCCCTTTCAAAGTCCTTGTGATCAAACTAGGTTCAGACACTGAAGACATTTTTTTGAGCCCGAAGGTCATTTAAGGATACCAACTCTTACACGTTTTCTCAATCTCACCAGACTGCATTTACAACTGATGACCGAACCTTGTCCTCTCTGACACTCAAATGTATTAACTGGACAAAATATTCTTGTTTTGTATAGCATAGTGTCAACGCGAAGTAGCAAGTATGGTGGCCGCCTATGAACAAGGAATGGACCGAAATCTACCTTCCACTGTCACACCAACCAAGGAGGCTTAAGGAATCTACTTCACCTCCCTGGTAGCCTTTATCTATGGGGTGGAAAGTGAAGCTAAAAGAGTGATATCATTTCCTGTGTTTCCCAACACTTTATGCTTATATTTCAGTAAATAGTTTGAAATCATGCTTGAAGGAAGGAATAGGGAGATTTTAACTAGGGAAATCTTCCTCGTATTAAATTGTAAGGTTTTGTCTCTTTTGACCCATTAAGTCCCATGATTTTATCCTATAAAAATGTTTTATAGAGTTTTATTTATATATACCCAGTCGAACTTTAATACACGTCGGATACAAATTTAAGACTCCTCTTTGAGACAACGATTGCAACCAATTTTCCTCGACGGCAATGCCTAACCTTAGTTTGATTTTTTCATATAGTGCGAACTGGAAATACTGTGGCAGTATCCAGCAATAGCACAAAAGGGACAACCTAAGCATGGCCACATGAAAGAGGGATGGTTTGATTTGTTTAGTTTTAGACTTTCAGTTGATAATAATTGTCTGGAAATTGTATACAATTAGTTAGCAGCCCGACAGAATGTTAGGAACTTAAGCTATCAAAATAGAATTTTACAGCTTTCCCTGTCCCAAAAGCTTATTATATATATAATACAAGTGACAAAAGCAGGCTAAAAGCTTGTAAACATACATATATACAGTTGCAAGAAGCACCGGCATCTCTTTTCCAGATACACTTTCCACTTCCTTTTTCTCCCCATTTATTTATTTCCATTATAGAGAAAGAGAACGGTTGATCCTTGTAAAGATAATGTTCTAGTACCAGTTTATTAAGTGTTCATGTTTCTTAGTTTGAATCTTCCTTTCTTATTCCAATAGGACAGAATGGAAAGAATCTGTAATGAAATGGATTTGGAACATCTCACATGGAGGAGACATCATGATCAGAAACAAATAAAATTTTAGCCATTTTTCCAAGAAACTGATTATTCCTATCTCTAAATAAAATTTGATTGTCTTACTTATTTTTTAACATGATTATGCAATTTTGGAATTTATTAAACCAATGTTGTATCCTTTGTGAAACAAATATGATTAGCCTTAAGGGGCTGGGGGGCCCATAATCAAATGCATGTTTAATCTTTGCTGTTGGCTACCTGCCTCTGTACTCTTGACCAAAACGATATGCTTTTTGGTCAACTTGATTCATCACGATGAAATGGGTCTCAAATTCTTCTTTCGTTGGAATTTCTATGAATAAACTGGCAAAAAGTAAAGCAATACTGTAACATTATCAAAATTATTCTAACCAATTAGCTAGAAAACCAAAAAAAAAAAAAAGTTCATACATAAAAAATAAAATTATTCAAGTCTCAATAAATGCAAATATTTCTATTTACAAAATCTGATTCAATATGCATCAAACCCATTGATTTCAATCTGACAACCTCCCTAATACCATCAAAGATTTGCATGAAAAACTCTAGTAAATGTTCATATAACCTGTTTTATTCAGATTTCTTATAGTAAAAACTTTGTTTTTGACATTTTCTTGCAAACAAGAAGTAAAAGTAAAGGCATATATATATATATATATATATATATTGGAAGTAGAATCCTAATAATTTCTAATTCGTGGGCAAGATCTCCTGGTCTGAATAAAATTCTGTTTAATGCATTATAACTTTTCAGTGGGGGAAACAGACATCAATTTGGAACTCCACAATCATTTTCCCAAGTTCCAATTAAGTATCACATCAAACCATCAAAAGTTCATTTTTGTGAAAATCACGTCACCTCTTTCTTGTGGAAAAGTAATGGATTAAATTAATTATTACTAAATTTAAACTCTCATTTATTACGAGATAAATTTTTATTTTTTATTAAATATAAAAAAATAAAATTTTTATATCAAATTTTAATGAATGAAAATATATTTAAAAATAAGTTTATTTATTTTTAAATATAAATTAATGTAATTTTTATTAAATTAAAGTATTAAATAATATTTTTATTAATATAATATATTTATATAAATATAAATTAAATAAATAATAAAATAAAATTTTAATACATCTCCAAGAAAGTCAAGACAAAATACCTCAAATTTGATCATAACTTAACTCAAATTATTTAAAAAATAAAAACTTAATTCAATTATCATTTAAAGAAAATTGATTTGATTAGATCGTATCAAAATTGAAATCCATCGGATATAGTTTTATTTTGTTATTTCAACATTCATTAAATTTTTTTATAATATTTATCTAATAAATAAAATTTTACAAAATAAAAAAATGACAAATAATAAAATATATATTTTATATATACTAAGGCTAACATCCAAAAGCTTACTTTGATTTGAGTTTGATTTAAAAAAACTAAACTTAATTATCTCAAATTAAAAGAAAATGCATTAATTGGATCAAGATGAATTAAAATACATCGATACAAGTCATTTTGCAAATTCTATCTAAATTAACTTTTTTATTAAAAAATTTATCTAACTAAAAACAAAAGCGAAAAAACTTTAAAAAAAGAAACCCAAAAAGCAAAAGTTTTTAAAAACAAAAAAAAAATTAAAGAAGTACCACGTGAGCACTTGAGATAAGGCATAACACCTTAAATTCATCTCTAACTTAACCTATTTTTTTAAAAAAATCATGATCGAATTTTTATTTTTTTTTTTAAATGTAACTACATTGGATTGATGTGAATCAAAATTAATCAAATACCAAATGTTTTACCATACCTATCTTCATTGATTTTTTTTTTTACAAAATTTATCTAATAAAAAAATGAAATAACAAATAAAAAGTTAAACATATATGTACATTAATAAAAATAAAATAAAAACATAAAAAAAAAAGAAGGATGAGGTATCACATGAACACCATCTCCTTCCCCATTCTCTATAAATTTAAATATACAAATATATAAATAATAGTTTAATAAATAAATAAATAATGTCAAACCAAGAATACAATTCTCTCCTCTTCCATGTTTTGCAACTACTACTACTACTTTCAAGTTCAAAGTAAGAAAAGAAGTCTTTGGTCAACAAACCAGACTCCATAGCATCATATTATATATGTAGAATGGCCCTCAAGAAGATAATGAAATAATTCTTCAATTTTTTAATTTAATTTGACCAACAAATTCTTTTTTTTTTTAAGAAAAAACTTATAGTAACGTTTTTATTAAAAAGGTTGTACAATAAAATGTATTAAATTATTAGAATCTATAAATTTTCAATTTTGAAATTATATATTATTTATTTTATCTTAATCAAAAGTAAATGTATGCACTTCATTTATTCCAATTTTCAATAAAAATATATTATTTAATTAATAAAATATTTATAAATTTTTAATTATTTAAAATCATAATATATTTAATAAAATATTACTACTACTACTACTATTATTATTATTCTTATTATTTCAATAAAGACCTATAATTACATTTTACTTACAAAAATAGAAAAAAAAATCAATTTCATTTTTTTTCTAAATTTTAAGGGATTTCCTAAATAATTAGTTTTATTTAACTTATTGAGTTAATGAGTTATTTGTTATTCTTATTCCCTTTAAAAGCTATTGAATAAATCTAATTCATACAAAAAATTAAGAATAAATAGATAAAGAAGGAATAAACTAGGAAATTTATATTTTTTTTCGTATTTAAGTTTACAAGGATTTGTATCCTAGCCATAAAAATAAAGAGTTTAACATCCTACCAAGAAAGCATACAATTGTTGGTGGCTTAAAAATATACATTAATTAATTGGGATGTTCATGATATCGTTAAAATCGAATTAATCAATCGAATCAAATTAATTTAATTAATTGACCGATCACAAAATTAATTTTGATTAACTATCAAAAATGATTTTTTTAAAAATTTCGATTTTCAATTAATTCGACTCGATAATTGAATTAACTAAAATATAACAAAACCTAAATAAAATTGAAAATATATGAAATAAAACATTTTATTTTATAAATTGTTAGAAATTTTAAGTTAATAATTTGATACTTAAATATTTTGTTGTGTGATTTTATTTAGTTTGTTTTTAATATAAGAAATGAAGAGTTTAAAATATAATTTAACTTGAATATATTTTATTGTTTAATTAATCAAAAAAATTAATTTAATCTGTAAGTTAATTTTTAAATTTAAAAAATTTAGTTTGATTAATGAAAATAAAATAAATTAATTCAGCTACTTTAATTTTAAATAATTTGAGTCAAAATTAATTAAACCGATTAAACGATGTTGCATGGATTTCAACTATCATCTTTCATTTTCCTTTTTTTTTTTTTTTTTTTTTCTGATGTTCTCTGGTTCATTGTTGTCTTTCGTAGTCCTGCAGTTTTATACATGATATTTTTCTAAAGAAATTTTTTTTTTTCGTTTTCATTTTTCTGTTTCTTCGCTTCGTTTCATAGAAATTTTCAGTTCATTTTAGCTTTTTTTTTTTTTAATTTTTAAATATGATAAGATGTTTTGATGTATTTGTTGTTTGCACATGTTTATGATTTGTAACTTGTGACTTTACTGGTATTTTTATTTTATTTTATTTTTGATTTCGTGGGTATCAAGTTTGAAATATTTAATAAAATTTTTTGGGTTAAATACATTTTTATAAAAACGTTTCGAAAGTTTGATTTTTGTTGCCATTGCTACTTCCTATGTGTTCTAAAATTACTTTTAATTTTTAATTTATTTTTAATCTTTCAATTTTGATCTATCCTTAATGGAAAGACATTAAGCATTTAAATTATCTCAAACCCACAACTTATAAAAATCTCTCTATTATGCATGATATTTGAATTAATATTTAATTAATTGAAATTGTTATATTTTAAAATTTATAGTATATATCATGCTTTTACTTTTGATATTATATGCAAAATCTTTGGTCTAATTGCTTCCTTTGAATAAAATAAATTATTAGCATGGAAATTGGGTACATGGGATTCTTTATTTTATAGAAAACAAATACATGAGCATTGAGCAAACTTAGTTGTTAGTATTTCAAATTAAAAATATGGGAATCTCTTATAAAAAATATTCACATAAAAAACCAAGCGTCCCTTTTTTGGGTCTCTCTCCAACGTGCTTGACTCATATATTAATTTAAAAAAAAAAAAAAAACTAAAACAAAACCCGTGAAAGTAACAAATGAAATTGTAATAAAATACGAACCTACCATCCTTTTCTTAACAAAAAGCAGCCGTAAATTTCATGTTGTTTGACTCGGTAACTCCAATTTGATTTTTTTTTTTTTTTTGAATTGTTAGAAGATAAAGTACAATTGGCTCTAGAAGATTAAGATACCATACTCCAAATATATTCTACATGAACAATTGAATTTAAGTAAAACAGCTTCATTTTAATTTTTTTTATTCAAAATTCAAATCATTTATAAAATGTGTTTAAATTTTGTTTCTTTAATAACTGATGCTGTGCTATATATAAAACTTTTAAGTTATATAGGAATTAAGATCAAATTTCAGTATTATATTATAGATGAAAGTTGAATTTTATTATTATATTTTAATTTTGATAATTTTTGAAAAAAAATAATGAAATTAATGGAAAGTCGTCATTTGTGTCAACAAAATTTTCTTGAAATAGTCAAATTTCATTATTTTTTAAATTAATAAAATTACAATTATAATAGTAAAATTGAATAAAGCTAAAAGTATAGTGATAAATTTTGTTTTAATCTCATTATTCAAGGTGAACAAATTGAATATTTCATTTAGCCTTTCTAGTTTTTTTACCCTTAAATAAAAATAAAAAATATATAATTTTGTACATTTAAAAATATATATATATATTTAACAATTTTTGTCAAAGTTAGGTAGCTATTTCTTAATACATGTCGACTACATTTTCATAATATGTTTATTATAGAAGCGTGTGTCTTTCACTGCTGAGGCGCGTAAACGATGTTCCATTTTATAACACGTGGTGCTTATATATGGCGAGTAATTCAACTTAGCGATTTTGCTTATATTTATCTTCCGCGTCCTTGTTTGGCTTTCCAAAAATAGTGCTTTTGTTTTGAGCATCCAAAAAGAGAATAAAAATTTAAAATAATATATAAACAAAAAATATATAAATATACGGAGAGTTTCAAATTTAAATTATAACGTTAAAGAGCTTTATCAGTTAAATATTATTTAAAGAAAGATATAAAGTATATAAAAAGATAAAATCAGAAAATCCAATTTGAAATTTTTATTTGAAAAAAAGTTAAAAATTCAAATTTAAATTAAAGAATCTTTTTATAAAATTTTTTGTACAATTCAATTGTCAAAAATTAAATTTACATGTCAATTTACAAAAAGGGTGATGAAGATTTTTTTTTTTTTTTTGGTATGTGTGGTAACTGTAATTATTAAAAATTATGAAAAAAATTAAAAATATATAAAAAAAAACACTTTAAGAACCAAGAAATGTCAATTATTGCTTGGCATTTAATTAAATTAATTTTCTTTATTTAAAAAAATTTAAAATTCAAATCTCAAAATAAATTTTAGATTTCTAATATCTTGTTCATAGAATATTCAACTTGATGTGGACCTAAAGAAAAAATATATAATATAATATAATAAAGATAAAATTTTAAATTATTATTATTATTATTATTATTATTATTATTAGAAGAAGAAAAAAGATTAACAAAATCTTCAAAAATTTGCTAGTAATAAACTGGCGGTTACATTTCATTAATTCAATTTCACCTGGTCCCAAACACGGCCTCTTTCCTTTTCTTCTCAAAACGCTTTTAAAACTGAAACTCTCAACTTCTTTGCGTTCTCTCTTCAAAACTTTATTCTTTTATCAAAACTCTTTCCTTTCCCGTCCCTCTCTCTCGCCAAATGAAGCTGACGGACGGAAACGCCAACTCTTCCTCTGTCGAGCTCAACTTTTTTAAATGATGGAACTATTCTTCCCTCTCCTTTTCGCTGTTAGTTTCTTCACCATTATCTCATTCCCGCCGTTAACTCATGCCTTGGGTTCTGGCTCAACTCTCGCCGTCGCCTACGGCACCGCCACTGTATGCGCCATCGTGGCCGCCGAGCCGACTCAACGCATTATCTGCTACCGCGCTGGCGACATCTCCTCCTTCGCCGTCCCCATCCTCCCGAACGTCTCTTACTCCACCGTCGCCGGTGGCCAAACCAACATTTGCGCCCTTCGTTCTGGTGGTTACAGTCTCCTGTGCTGGGAAACAAACACCCCAACTTTTCCTCTTAAACGCATATATTATAATGACACCATGTTCCTACAATCCCTCTCCATTGGCGACGGAAGGATTTGTGCAACTTCGACGAATGCGACGCCGTCTGTAGCCTGCTGGAGACCGGGCGGTAATACTAGAAATAACAGTGAGGAGTTACCCAACGATAATTACAGAATGGGTAAAATCACATCCGGGTTTGGGTTTTCTTGTGGGATTGTATTGAGTGAAAACAACAGGATGACCTGTTGGGGAAGTAACACCGTAGGGAAAGACATAGAAGGGCAATTCGGGAACATGTCAATGTCAAATATCGAAGCTGGGTTTTCCCATGTTTGTGGAGTGAACTCAGCTGGTGATTTAGTATGTAAAGGAGAAAACTCAACTGGTCAATTAAATGTTCCTTTAAACAGAGGTTTAAACTTTGCTTCAGGGTTAGCTCTTGGTGAAAGGTTTAGTTGTGCAATTAGGAGATCGAATGGGACAGTTGTTTGTTGGGGTTCAATGGATGAGACTGCTGTTGAAGGAATCGAGTTCGAATCCATTGTTTCAGGTTTAAATTTTACGTGTGGATTAACCACTAGGAATTTTTCAATTGTTTGTTGGGGTACAGGGTGGCCTGGAAACAATGGGTCAAATTCAAATTCTTCCGCAAATGAGTTACCTTTCGGAGCTGATATTTTACCAGGGCCTTGCGTTCAATCTCCTTGTAACGAGTGTGGGTTATATCCTCAATCAAGTAGCCTTTGTTTTGGCTCTGGTAACATTTGTAAACCTTCACCTTGTTTCAATTTCACCAACTCATCACCACCGTTATCGCCGCCACTACCGGAAGCTCCACCTCCGGAGGTTTTGAGGCAGTCGTCGCCGTCTAAAGCGTTGAGGAGAGGGTTATTGGTCTTTGCAATAGTTGGATCAGTTGGAGGTTTTTTGGGGATTTGTAGTATTATTTATTGTTTATGGACTGGGGTTTGTTTTGGGAAAAAGAAAGTACATAATTCAGTTCAGCCAACAATAACTAGAGCTGGTTCTAGTGGTGGTCCAGGTTCAAATAATAGTCCTCCGTCAAGGTCATCTACAATTAGACGCCAGAGTTCAAGAGCAATGAAGCGTCAAAGAAGTGGAACATCATCGAAACATGCTGATAGAGCTGAGGAATTTAGCTTCGGCGAGCTTGCTGCTGCTACCAATGATTTTTCATTGGAAAACAAGATTGGTGCTGGTAGCTTTGGGGTTGTTTACAGGGGGAAGTTGTTGGATGGCCGTCAGGTGGCAATTAAAAGAGGTGAAACAGGTCAAAAAACCAAGAAATTCCAAGAGAAAGAGACTGCATTTGAATCAGAATTGGCATTCTTGTCTAGGCTTCATCATAAGCATTTGGTTAGGCTTGTTGGGTATTGTGAAGAGAGGGATGAAAGGCTTCTGGTTTATGAGTACATGAAGAATGGTGCACTTTATGATCATTTACATGATAAGAACAATGTTGAGAAAAGTAGTAGTCTGCTTAATTCCTGGAAAATGAGGATCAAAATTGCTTTGGATGCGGCCCGGGGGATTGAATATCTTCACAATTATGCAGTTCCACCTATAATTCATAGGGATATAAAGTCTTCTAACATATTGCTTGATGAGAATTGGACAGCAAGAGTTTCAGATTTTGGACTTTCCCTTATGGGTCCGGAATCTGTCCGAGATTACAGGCCAATGAAGGCGGCTGGAACAGTTGGTTACATTGATCCTGAGTACTATGGCTTTAATGTATTAACAACAAAGAGTGATGTGTATGGGCTTGGAGTTGTAATGCTAGAACTTCTGACAGGGAAGAGAGCTATATTCAAGAATGATGAAAAAGGAGGGACCCCGGTGAGCCTGGTGGATTTTGCAGTTCCTGCAATTATGGCAGGTGAATTGATTAAGGTTTTGGACTCGAGGGTTGGACCACCAGAACTGAATGAAGCTGAAGCAGTGGAACTGATGGCATACACTGCAATGCATTGTGTGAATTTGGAAGGGAAAGAGAGGCCTACAATTGGTGACATTGTTTCTAATTTGGAGAGGGCAGTGACTGTTTGTGATGGCAGCCATGGCAGCATCTCAAGTGGTGCATTCTCCATGGTTTCAGAGTGAGATTTTCAACTCTGAAAAAAAAAAGTACAATTTTGCCCTTTCCTTCGTTAATTTTTTCCGTAAGTGATTTATCCAGGTATACATTTTGGAGTGCAAAGATTTTTCATTTTTAGGAGTTTTTCTTCATCTAACATTGAGCTGTAGTTTAGGGTTTTGTGAACAGTGACAGCAAGGAGAAATGATTGCATGATTTATTCTTGTTGCCCTTTAGCATATTGTTTTCCTGACAATTTCTTGATTAATTTACTCTCCTAAAGAGTAGTTAATTTTCTTTTCTTGTTTATTATTTTTGGGGTTGGGATCAAATTTGACCATTTGGTTTCATTTCACACTAAAAAGAAAAAAGAAAAGTACTAAACTATTGAGTTAGGGCCAACCTGACAATGATAAAGGCAATTAGCCAACCAAAGAACAAAAATACGTGGACATGAACTTAGCTTTTTGGCATGTGCTTTGAAACTTGAAGTGCATTGCTTGCGTGGTTGTTTCACCCCAAATAAAGGTACCAAGATTTTGTCAAAACCCATCACCCAAATGGTCCAACAAACAGAAGGAAACTGAATGAAAAACTGGGTCCATTCTTTAAAAAATTCACACGTAGGGGCACAGTTAGATAAAGGAAATTGACTTTGAATTAGAAAAATGTTTTGGATTTACGTAATCACTCGACAAGTGTCTGATTTATTTTTATTTTTAAAGGTTGGATGTTACTATACTTGAGTTGGTTAAAAATTGTAAAAAAAAAATTCATGAATTGGTGTAGATTGGATTCTCTAGGGCCATTGATTTCATAGAATTATTACCGAATTGGACGGTGCCTCCTAATTAATTTGTAAGCAGTTTCTTGCATGCCAAGTTAATACCAAAGAATTAAAGTAGAAATTTAAAGAAACTAAATGTTGTGGAGCTAGATAAGGTGGGCCAAGGACACAAAGGAGGGGTGGTGGCCGATTGGCCGGTGACCCACCTCTTCCATTTGCCCCTTTTCACTCGGTTGCTAATTGGTTAAAATCGTACATTGATCAAAGGGTAGTAGTGTGGAAAGTGTTTGCAAAATCCAGAAAAAAGGGTATGGTGAAAAGTGAAACTATATCATATCTCTCTGCACATTGATATAAGTAATCATCAATGTTTTGTCAATTGGACTCTCGCAAGGATTTCTCCTTGATTTCATTTGTACAAAAATGAGAAAATCCCATTAAAGAACAGTGGACTTGGATTGGATAAATTGTGTTTGTTTCCAAGATATTGAAAATTTTCAGTTGCTTTATATTGATTGTGATAAGATTTGATTTGATCATTACCAACCTTAAAACCAAGTTTGAGACCTCCTCGATTCTTTCTTATCTTTAAATTTTGAATTGCTGTGACTTGTTGATTTACTTTTAATGAAAGAGCAAATAATCAGAAAAAGGAAAACAAAAACAAAAAGCATTTTTCATGGGCATGGAGTTTGCCAAGAATTTTCATCAGTCGTCACTAAATTATTTTGTTTTGGTTTTTTTTACCATGAGTTACATATTCATTGATGATGAATTCTAGTGGTTTTTTTTTTTTTTTTTTTTTTTAAGGTTAGGTCAAGTGTAACATATCTAGAATATTCAAGACTATACTAACAGAAGGGAAACTAAATATTGACCCATTTGTCTCCAATTTAAGCCCACCTTTTTAATGTGGTTGGTAGGTCCTGCAATTGCGGCAGAATAAACAGAGAACCGGCAATGTAGGAGACCAGTCAAATCACCTTTGCAACAGGTGAAGTCCCTCAGAAACAAACATCAGTTTAAGCCCAACAGTCAATAGCCATTCTAGCACTATTAGAGAATGTCACAAATACCTTTAACTCTTTCTCATTCTGTTTTGAAATTCCATCAGAAAACCTCGATATTTTTAGAAATATTGAATTAAAATTTCTAATTCAGCTACATTTTGCACCAACTATTATAGCTGGCCTTCATTCAAATTTATGGGCAACTTTTTTATTGCATTAATAATGAGCTTGAGTAGTATTACAAATGGGACATTAAAACAAAATTCCAAAATTTCAATCACTCCCCAAAGTTTAGTGAGTGACCGTGTTGTAACCTACACGACAAAAGAGAATGTTTTGCCAGAAACCAAAATATCAATTATATGTTCAGTTTACGCAACAAAAATTCAAATGAGAAGAATTCCGAGAAAGATCAGATGCGTTGATGTCTTCTTTTTGCTCGTTGCACTTCAACTTCATTCATCCAATCGGAGAGTCTCAAGAGACCTTTGTAACCATAATATGTTACTGCAATCAGAGCTGCTACTATGATGATAAACAAAAGCAGCCGCTTCAAGGTGCCCACAAGTTTCTGTTGGAAATATAATAATAATAATGATGATGTTGTTAAGCAAAGAAAAGTGACTAGGAAATGATCACTTAGCTTGTGAAGAGAATGACATACTTGCGGTTTTGAGACTTGCTTGCCCTCCTGAATCCGATCACGCCTTTTTCTGCGCTTTGACACATGCTTTTCATTTTCTGGCTCCTTTTTCTTCAATTAAGCAGGCAATGATATTAGATTTAACAGCAAGAGCCACAAAATGATGAACATAAGTGTAAACAAGTATACTGTATGCATGGCAAGGCAATAAAGAGAAAATAAAATTTTATACCAGTTGGCGACTAGATGCTGAAATTATAAGATTAAGGATTGGAAGTACTGAATAATAGAACACAGAAACAAGTTTGACAACTCTCCCAGTACGCCAGAAAACCACTACCAAAATCCAAAGCAGCCCACCCTTGTTGTGAAAAACCCAGGATAGATCTCCGTAAATTGACAGGATATTTCTGTTGTGGGTAACTTAGAAAATGTTGTCATCATAAAGTCCTAGCATCTGTGATAATAGCATAACACGCGCGGGGTATATTTCATTTGTTATGTTCACGGCAGAAGATTTAGTCTTCTCTGTACGGTAATTATCTCAGCAACAACCACAAATTCTAACTCAAAGGAGGATTAGTCAATAAAAGGAACATTGAAGTTGGATTTCAAAAATGTAAATACAAATTTTCTTGTTACTATATAATCTGATAATTGAAAAAGAAAACAAGAAATATTTCCTATTTCTAGAAAATATATAAGGAACCCAATACTCAATATCTGCTTTATCCACCAGGCTGCCTATCATGTTATAGCTGATTACAGAAGCAACTTGACTCAATATGTATGCAATACATCTTGTTCTCGAATAATCATTAACCAATATCTAAAAAGGTTCAAAGTAATCTAAAATGACATACGCTCAAGCAAATGAACAATGAAACAGAAGTTGAATAATGATAACTCAATTTTAAAGATGTTACCTCCAAAACCTTAGGCTTACGCAATTGTAGAGCAGAATCAACCTCCTGTACCTTGCTCTTACAATCTGAATTGCAAGGCAGAAGTCCAAGTCCAAACTGATTCTTTGATATATCTTTGGGATCATACCCAATGTCACAATATGCTGCCTGAACATCTTGGCATATCCATTCCTTCTTCAAGGTTTGGCATTTACAACGAACAGTAACCTTGCACATAGAAGATGGAGACGGAATAGGAAATTAATAACAACTCAAATTGTGATTATGAACTCTGTTATAATGTTGCTAAAGTTCAAGGGACATCATCTGAGTAATTCAATTAATATACAAAATTCCTTACTTATCACTTATAAAGTGAATTACTTAAAATTATTACCCTTTTGCAGCACTTGTCAGGGGCAGGGCATCGACCAGCATGGCATATTTCAGGGCATAGATGTGTACAGTTGGGCAACTTTCTGCAACACAAATTTCAAAATTTTTAGTATAGGAACACATGGCAGTGCCAGTTCTGATACATGGAAATAAATTTCAATGATACTATGAGAATGAAAACAACCCAAGAACTTAAAAAACAGCAGCAAGAGAGAGAGAGAGAGAGAGAGAGAGAGAGAAATAGAGTATATTTATAAACTACCTATGGCAAGGCCCTCCACATGAGCGAACAGCCACTTGATCCTTTTCAGATAAATTGTTATAATAGATGCACTCAAATGCATGGACCATTGCACTGCAGTGACATGACCGTTTCAGCAGCACTTTGCAAGGAGGGCATTCTGCAGGATGACATGGTAGGGGACAGGGGTGTGGACATATGGGCATCCTCTCCTGGGCAAATATTAAGGCAGAAGGAAATTAAAACCCCCATATTAAATAATGTTTCTTGTAACTAGATAAACTATGGTAAAAATGAGTTGCTGATAGCTGCCTTGTGCTTTTAAGCTACCCAAGTGACAGAGAGCAAACATAGCAAACAAAAGATTAACAGGAGACAAATATCATAAATGAGGGGAACAAGAAAAATAACAGGTTTAGCACCTTCTGGCAAGGGAGATTACACTCTTCACAAGACTCGCTTCCTTTACGATGTTCTGACAATGAAGACTGGATCTCCAGGGGATGGCAAGTCTTCGTACAATAATGATTGCCACAAGGAAGAAGATTTCCACATAAATTATCACAAGAAAATCGTGCTCTATCTGAGCAAACCATCTGAAAGAAGGAAAAAGAATAAGTTCAAAGTGAAGTAGATGGCCAGGGCAATCAAATAGATTGATTAGCAGCTATTCATTCACAACTTAAAAAAGAAGTAAAACCAACCATCCTCTCTGCTCCTATGTGCTGGCCAACACATGGTCTCCAAACAATTTCTGGGCAGGGAGGGCAAGGGATGCCAGGAGTGTACGCAGTATGATGATTTGATTTCTTTTTCTTGGGTTTCAATGTGAATTCTGGATTTGGAGGAGGTCTTGGCCCATGACACCTGGAATGTCAAAAGGAAAAGAAAACAAATCAGCTAACAGAAACATATGTAGAGAAAAGTTACACTCTAAAGTGCAAATATCAATTAAATATTTGGCAAACCTTAAGTTGCACTTATGACCACATGGATATTCTTCTTCACAAAGCAACCAACATTGGGGGCAAGCTCCATAATGGCATCTGTGTGGCTGGTAAAATATGGATGAGAATTTATGGCTAGGAGAATTAAGCAAAATATGCTATAGTTTCTTTATGGTAAGTAAATTATGAAACAAATAGAAACACTATCACTTACAAGAGATAAGTGCATAAATATAGAAACTTTTGAACATGATAAAAAAAAAATTATGGATCATTATTAATATGACACAACTAGCTAATAAAGTAAGTTAAAAAATTCTAAGACATATATGTAGTAGACACCATGAAGGTTATGTTGTATAGAAATGAAAGAAGAAATCATGATGATTGTTGATAATACATAATCCAAGCATAAGACCAAAACTTGGGCATTATCACCATGCTATCAACAACATCATACAACAGAGACTGAAGGAAACTAGTGTAACACAAATAACCTCCAGCCAATAATATGAAAAAGTGAAGAATCAATAGTACCTTGCAGTTTGATGCATGCCTGCACAAGGGAGTTATCTTGCATAATTTACGACATTTGGGAGGCTTTTGATTGATCTCAGTACCACAAGGAACCTAGTTCAAAAAATTATAGAAACAATCATACAACATCCAAAAGTGCCTCATATTAGCAACTGATATGCAAATAAATAACAAAGAGGAGCAATTTGCCAAAAGACCACAAATCCATCATGGTGATCAACTAAGATCCTTTTTAGTTTGGCATACGAGACCTTAACACTTTAATGCAGTGTTATATCCATCTACAAATGAACAGAGAATCTGTTATAACCAAACTCTCACCTCAAAGTGTGTCTCACCACATGCACATGAAATTGTCACCATAACCGGACAGGGAGCACAAGCACCTCTACAATAATGAAACTCACGGTCAGCACATTTTGCCTTCTAGAAAGGAACTCATAGAACAGTACTCATAGGAAAGAATGATAAAGCCAACTAGGAGTCTACGACTTGGTTTTGAAGGACAGCTATTCCATTTACAACAGACATGACAAAGGTGCTAGGCAATTCACTTTGTTTAGCATTGTCCTAATCTAACAGTTTTATTGCGTAACCCTATACTCAGAAGAAATAAAAGTAAAAAAACTTGATCATGCAGCATACCGATGACAAGGGGCAGGGCATTTGTGGTTCTTGCACCGAAGCCTCTTATCACAAACCTGAAACATCCATAATTATATAACATTTCACAGACAAAACAATTTCAACAAAAATAATAGCATTTTAAAGTTTAAAAAAAAAAAAAGCACAACACCTCCGAACAAGGCGGGCAATTTCCATCACAACATCGACGCTTACAAGCATGGCGTCCACAATCCCTCATTCTCAAACACTTCCTCTCACATGACAAATCTTGATAGCAAGGAACCTACACTAAATTCAGTTAAAACATTCATGAAAAGCCAAAAGAAAATCGTAACTGAAAACCAATCAATCAAATTCTACCTCTTTCTTCAATCCTCCACACCGGCACGATTTCTTAACCACAATCCTACATGTCTCCACACAAGGTCCCTTATGACACCTCTCAGGACACCTATGGAAACCACAATTCAACAACTTATTACATGTTGCACCGCAAACAGGAGCTGTCCCATCACAGGGCATCCCTTCATAAACTCTTTTCCCACATGGACATGTCCGTTTTCCTTGCAACGGACACTCCCCACAATCTCCTGCATGACATCCTCTTTCACAAACATGTTTTTCACAATTAAGTAACTTTTTACACTCATTTTCGCAGCGAAAATCCCTGTCACAACATTCTTTTTCCTCCTCCTTTTTACCACATCGGCAACGGTAAACGTCACGAGCACGGCAAGGAGGGCACGTGCCTAGATGACAGATCTCTAAACAGTTATGTTTGTTACAATCTAAACGTTTGTTGCAATGTCTGTTACAGGAAAAGTTTTTGAAACCGCAACGGCGAAAATCCTCGAAGGAGCCGCAAAAGCAACGGGTTTTGATGGATTTCGGGCAGGACGGGCAGGGTCCAGGGTGGCATAAAAGGAGGCAAAAGTGACCGCAATTATTGGGCAACGGGCGGTTACAGATTTCGCCGCAAGAGTGAGGGAGGATCCAGGGGTTGTCAGAAGGAGGATCTTGAAGCTTACCGCAGAAGCAAAGGTAAGATCTAGGGATCTGCGATTTGGAGTAGGAGGAGCGGCATTTGGGGCAGTTCCAGGTGGCTTGCTTGGCAGCGGTTTCGGCGGTGATTGGGAGACGTGCGGCGGCGCGCGCAGCGGAGAGGTCGGAGGATTGGCGGGCCCACGATTGGATGCAGAGGAGGTGGAAGAGAGCGAAGCAGAGGGAAGAGCAGGACCAGGTGGGATCCGAGGGGCGAATTCGTTCGAGGCATATGAGGCATGATAGAGCGCCGGAAGAAGAGGAAGTTAGGAAGGATTGGATCTTGGAGAGATCGACGGCTGTGATCGAAGAAGAAGAGGAAAATTCGAGGTAGGTTTTGAAAATGGAATTTGAGAGATCAGATCCGACGTGGAAGTTTTCGGAATCGGAGTCGGAGTCCGAATCCGAAAATGGCGATGGTGTGTCGTAGTTGACCATTGTGGTCATTTTGGAGATCTGAGCTTTCTGGGAGAATGGGTTTTGCCGCCTTTTTACAGTGATGCCTTTGGCTAGCTTTTTTTAGATAGTTTGAAAATCACGTGAGATCACAAAATTTTGCATTTAATAAGAAATGGGGCTCCCCACTCAAAACTAGGGATAGCTCAGTTGGGAGAGCGTCAGACTGAAGATCTGAAGGTCGCGTGTTCGATCCACGCTCACCGCATCAAAAAATTTCATTTTATTTATTTAAACTGTTCATCCTTTCCAAGTTTAGTGATTGAATTTTAACATAGCAAAATCTTATATCCCGAAGATGCATTTGGATGTAAGATCCAAAGTTATGAAACTAAATTTCGAAAAGATGGGAAATATACAACCTTGATGAAACCGAGTGAAGATGATAAAACAGAACATGTTCGGCATCCAAAAGCCATTAACTAATAATAGCAGATAAATAATATATACCAGGCTTGCTAATTACACACCTAGTTTAAGTTTTTTTTTTTTTTTGTCTCGTAATTATATATCACAAGTTAAAAATATGACTAATTACACGCCGCAAATGAAAAGCTGCAGAGCAGATGGTATATATATATATATGTATATATGTCTATATATATACATATATATGTATATATATATATATATATATATCAGACAGCAAACATGTAATGGATAACTGCACACAAGCTCAGCAAATACCATCAAACAAATTGAAGGTGGCTTCAGAAATGTGGAACTGGAACTCTCTCAGGGACTATGAAGCGACAAATTCGAAGCGCATAAGGAGCTTTACAGAATTATACTTGTCACCCTTCAGGCTGTTGAGGGGAACTGCTCGGATCCCTCTTCTTAGCTCTGAAATTGGTAGGCATGTTTGCCCTCCGAAGTCATCCTTTTCAGACATGTCGTATTCGTGCACTTCGATTCGAAGTAAAGCCAATTCAGGGACGGTTAGAGGGAACTCGAATTCCTCATTCCAAGAAGGCACCCAATTGTCTTCTAAAGTCTTTGTTTTCTTCATCACAGAATCTGCTGGGACTCCAGCAATTCCCACCTGCAGACATATTAATCATATTTCAGGTTGAAGTTCTCTACTTTCACATTAATCTAGTTTTCTCTGGGAGGTATTGCCCATGTCACTGTTTGTCAACTTACCCTTGCATAAAAGTCCGGAGGCGAATACGCATCAAAATGTGTGTGATGGAAATCATAATACCATCCTTCCCCCATATACACGGTTACCTTTCCAAAACAAGGACAAGAAATCATAATTCTTGATTGAGAATAATAAATAAAGGGAAAAAAAAAAAGCATCACTTAGTATTACAAATCAGCACTTTAGGGGAAAAAATAAATAAATAAAGGGATCCCATGGCAATAAAACATTTACCTTCAAAATTGTTTTCACTGAAGGCTTGACTTTGGGATCAAAGACTTCATTAGAGTTCAACAGGAAATCTGGTTTTTTCACATAACCACATCCCCCATTGGCTTTGAACATTCCATGCATCAACCATAAAGATCTTCCATGACCCTGTCATACACATCAACAAGAAAATAAAAGAATCTTATCATTTGGCAAAGCAGCTAGCCAAAATCAACTAAACAAAGCATTCGCCAAATTTCCTCTCTGATATCCATTAGGCTATCATCTCTCACATGATGATGGAACAGAGAAACAGAGTAGGCTGTGAAGCACATTTCGTATCTAGTTGTTGGATCAAACATGAAGCCTACCAGCAGTGACCAGTCTAGGAAAAGGATCACTACTCAATTAATTACTCACTATTCATGCTTTTTTGCCGTGTTCTAATTACAAGAATCATGCAATGCACAAATAGCCCTCTAGCTGTGAAGTTATAGGTTAGGATAGTTTTTGAAACTTTCATCTCTATATCTTTGAGCTATGCAAATCATTATGTCTATCCATAACCAAATAAAGAAAGATATATTACCATACCTGACACTTCTACCTTTTTACTTACTATTTCATCCAAATGTCAGACAAATGAATAATAAAAAGAAAACCATACCTAGAATAGAAATGAATTTTGAGAAAATATAGCTAAACGGAAGGGGAAAAGAAAATAAGGAACAAAAAGGGGGGTTGCGTAAACCTGCATATTAAATGCAACCATTTGAGCTCCATGAATCCATCCAATTAGTGGGTTGTAATTGGAAGAGTCAACACGTATACCCTTGGGATATACCCTAAAAATATTCTTCTGTGTAAACCTGTAGCAGGACAAACATCAGAAAGAGGGAATTCGCAATTTTTAATAATCAGAATATTCGATCAAACAGATGACTTACAATGCACATGCCGGGTTAATTCTAGCATAACACAACGTCAATACTAGCATAATAACACATGAAACAAAGTATTGACAAATGGAAACACATCCAACTTAAAAATTGAAAAAAAAAATAGTATGTAACTGATCAAATAATTTGAGCAATAATCAAAACCTTCCAACAACCATGATCGTTTACATGATAATACAGAAATACTTAATGACTGCTTCTATCAGACCAGCCAAGCCACTGATAGTCCCTAGCTAAATTTTCACACCAGCCAGATCAATGACAACATGTACTGTGCACTATTTTTACATTGCTAGTGTGGTGTAATTGCTTTAAGTTGGATGCTTAACATGGTATCAGAGCCAGCATTTCTTTCTGTTGCCCTTTCCAAATCTGTCACATAGTAGGCTTCTTCCATCTCTGCTTACATGTGATGGGGGCTTGTTAGTATGGTATTATCCCATGTCTAATGAATTTCCAATATCCTATAGTCTTATATTCAAGTCGGACCCCTTCACTTACTACCAATTGGTTTTAAGTTGGATGCTTGACATGCATCATCTTAAAGTGGATTCATCTAAGCAGTGAGAAAGAAAAAGCTCAAGAAGCCAGGACGGATATGTACTCTTCGTAAAAATATCACCAAATAGGGCGCATGCAGACAATAGAGAAAAAGAAACTAACAACTTTATCTAATAACTAAGGATCATTTCTCATAAATGAAATTTGCCAAATCCTTTATTACATACCTGACAGTTTGTTTTCCATGAGTTACTGCAGCCTTTTCAAGTTCTTGCTCACTCATGCTAAGTCGTCTCACTTTATCAGGATCCACCCTTAGACACTCATCTAATCCACCCTTTGGCTTCCCAGCATGAATAGCAATTAAACGTTTATATTCCGGCACTAGAGTATGCTGTGACTTATCCCCATCATCAAGATCCTCCTCATCTTCTTGATCCAAGTCATTCTGTCATACAAGAGTAACCAATAAGTGAAATGTAAATTATAAGTAAACATTTAGTAATATCAATTTGAAGTAAATCACGGTAGCATCATCAGCCACCTTGTTGTCAGCTACATGACTGCCTTTAAGCTCTGGAACTTCTTTTCCCCAAGCTTCTTCATCACTGGCCTTACCCCTTTCGGACTCATTCTCTTTATCCTTAACTTCTTTGGCCTCAAGGTATTCCTTCGGTGGTTTGGTAGATATGATTATGCGTTTCTTCAATGATTCTGGAGAAGGGAATTCTTTTAAGCATTCTGAGCCAGGAGAAAACAGGATGTCTCCAAATGTTTGGGTGACCATCTAGAAATTAGGGACAAAAATGTAAATTATGGGAATATTAGATGTTTAAAGTCCCATTGAAAGCACCAAGACTCACCTCGGCAACTTTAGCCTGAAGATCTGGGGTAAGATGGTCTTCTAGAGTTATAACAACTGGGTAATCTGAGGCAACAAAAGCATACTCCTTAATAGACCTCAAACACTTGATGAGTTCCACGGGAGTAGTCAAAGTCCTACATGAAGAAAATTATTCGTTATTTTCCCAGAGGCAAAATTACTGACTAGGGATGGACTGTTATTTTTAAAACTTAAAGAGGTTAGTTACAGTGGGAGGTAACATAGTAGTAGAATCAGTTGTATCCCAAGCAGGTGTCAAACATGTAAAGTTATAGCTTTAATGCAGAGTCATGTTTTTTCTTCAGCATTTTCCTCATACAATGGAAACTACATGCTTATGCGCAAGGTGCCCGTCACATTAACAAGCAACCATCTTTTCTAATTTAATGCCTGGAAAAATAAATCAATACACCAATGTCAAGTGCAATTCAACATTTCTTCTCCCTTCAGCTTTTCATTTTGGTGGCAAGTACATGTATATGTTCAAGATACCAGCTGAAGGGAATAAGCAAATTGTTGTAATGAAAGCATCACATTTTCAGTAAATCATTTATCATCATTTAGCAAAATAGAAGATCCATTCATGTTAAAGGCTTAAAATGGGAACAATTTGGACTTCAAGAACATACCTTCCATGAAGAACATCGACATTATCTTTTGCTGAATTTGGCCATATATCCAATTCTATCACTCTCACACCTCTCTTAAGTGCATTTATGATGGGGACATCGCTGCAGACACTACTGAGTTGATTCCCAGTAAGATAGGAATTGTGACCAGTATATATGAAATAATGAGACAAAGGAGCATTCATATCATGGTGCACCTGAAACCAAAGAAATGAACATGACATAAACAACAATAGCACAAAGTGTTGAAAGCTGAATGATTTGCTTTTGCAACCAAACTACAAAGCAAATTAGAATAGAGGGATCACAAAAGCTCAGGCACGAACAAGGCTCCTAAATTTTTTTCTTCACCAATCTCAAGTCTCAACATTAATAGAATAGGATTGTGATAAGCAAATTGTGGAGCGAACAACAAAAGCAAAACAGTTCAAAGGTAAAGCCACATTGAGATAAGTTAAAAGCCTGTAATGGCATATTTTAGCTAGAAGTTAAATACATGCCATGCGCCGTAGAAAGCATTTTCAAACAAAATCATCATCATCAAAGTACCATCCTCAAAGCTATGAAAGCAACAAAGCAATCCAGCTAATATACATTACTTGCTGAGCTGAAAATAAGTACTTAGTTTCATTAGTTTCATTTAAATCCCATACAATCCAAGATAAATCATCTAATTTGGAACTAAACCCTTCAATCGCAATTAAACAACAGAAAAGGAAAGAGCCAATCCCAAAAACAATAGCCAAAATGAAAAAAAGAGAGAGAGACAAATATTTTTACCCCAAGAGAAGCAAGAGGAGGATTAAGATCGCCAAAGAGGTACTTAAAAAAAGCTTCAAGATTTAGACCCTTTCTATGAAAATGCTTAAAACTATCAATAATCTTCTGATCATCTTCTCTGGTGGCGTTATCTTCTTTCTGGACCTCAACCAAGAACCTCTGCAGTCCATCAACGCTCATGATCCCATTCTCAGAGTACTGTTCGAACACCTTCTTGATCTCCTCTGGTGCCTCTGCAACTGCCAGCCTAAACCTCCGCCTGAAGCAAAAGCAAACCCTGTAGGTTTGTTTGGACATTGGTTATTCCTAGAATTTCCAAAAATCTGATCAAAAGAACAAAAAAAATACAATCTGCAAATCTGCACTGTCTGAAATTTAACTTTTAATTGCTTCGGTTGGCTGTTTCAGCTTGATGAAGTCGTTATCAGTTTGTTTCCAGAGAAGTTGGGTGGGATGGGTTGCGCCCTTGGGGGACCCATACCCAAACGTGAATCTGAGATCCATTCACATTCTATATACGTGGACCTCATGCGACAATTGATATTTTGCATAATTTTTTTTAATTATATTCATAATCAAATATTACATCTTATAATTAATTAAATAATTAAATAATTGAATAATAAATTATAATTTAATTAAATAATTAAATTCACGCAAAATAAAACAAACCTAAAATTTAATCTTAAAACTAAAAACAAAGGATTTCAGGACTTGGATTTGATCATCTTTATCTAATTGTCGACATGGACTACAAGAAGTCAATCTGACAACGAACAAGTTTTTAGGCTTTCTCTCAATCATTGAATGCGTAGTGAAAATGCCAAAATGGGTGAAATAAGTATTAAAATATGGTTAATTTTAACTTTTTTTTTCTTAGGCAACTAATGCAATGAAGATTGTAGAGCTTTGTTCAAAAAATATCTCGTCTGTCATTGTTGGCTGAATTTTCTTTTTGCTTTTCCGAGAGTGTAAAGATGCACTAAAATATTTTACCCGCTTGGGTTTTAATTTTATTTCATGCCAATAAATAATAAATATTTATAAAATAATATTTATGGGAATAAATTAATAAATTCATTTAATTGAAGTTTTATTGGTGTATAAGCTAAAATTTTAATTTTAATTTTAATGCTACAAACCAAAAACTTATAATTTTACAACATAAAAAAATAAATCCATTCATTACACTAATTACTAAAAGTACATATTCACAATTAATTAAGTTTATAGAATCATAGATTCATATATTCATAAATGGTTAAGTTTATAAACGATTAGATTTATACAATTTGAATTTGATTTATGATAACTTATGTTTTTTAATATTATATGAATCTAGATTTAAATATTAAATTTAAACAATACTAATTACAAAATATATTTATCCATAATTAATTAGTTTCATAGATACTATAAATGATTAAATGATTAAATTCATGAATTATTAAATTCCTATATTTTAGAATTAAAGAATAAAAAATAAGTGAATAGTATATATGAATCTAATTAATTATAAATCTTATTATTTCTTAATTATAAATTATTTAACTCAATCCAATCAATATAATATAATTACGGATACAGGTCATTTAATTAAGTACCTTAATTGACCAAGTGTCATGTCATTCCTCCTAAATCCCAAAATTATAGTAGGGTATAGATTTAATTTATTAGTAAACACAAAACAATGACTTTTAGTTTTTAAAATAATTATAATCTAATAAAATCATTTTCTTTTTTAAATTATCATGATAATTTTAAAACTAACAAAATCAAATTTAACCAAAATAATTATAATATTATACCTAATTTAATCCTCAAATTATAACTTAAGATAAGTATGAGTTGTCCATGCATTAAGTTTTAATTTTAAGTGAAGATAACTTTATTCTAATTACTAGAATTAGTCCCCGCTATGTTAAGGGAGACAAATTATTTTAATATAAAATAATAAATAAAAATATTATAAAAATATTAAAATTAAAAAATATATAGTATTTCATATATTGTGATTATATTTTTTTGTTATTTGTTCATGTTATGCGTATTATATTTTTTTTATTAATTATTTGATCAAAATGTATGACTTTTTTTAATTTTTTTGTAGATTATAAATTTTTTATAAAAATATTTAAAACAAAAGAAAGAAAAAAAGAAAAGTAACTTATTTTTTGTTTTTGCATTTTATATCATCTTATATTTATATTTATTATTATTACTATATTTTTATTATTTTATTTTGTAATAGATAATAAATGATAAAAACTTAAAATTTATAAAAAAATATATATACTCAACTATAACTTAACATAAGACAAATACAATATTCTTTTTTTCAAAATTCAATTAAAATCTAACTTATTATGTTCAAATCCAATTAAAGTTCAACACATTGTAACATGCCAAATCCAATAATTTATTAAATTTTATTATCAACTAATAACTATTTGACAAATAGAGAGTAATTCAACAGCTCAATTGCGAGTTGTTCTTCAATTTAGAGTTATCCTCACTTAGGAGTAACTTTTATTGTATGTTATTGATTAATTTACGTATAGAAAAAAGTATTAACATCTTTACAACATTCATTTAAATACAATACTAATTAATCTTATATTATCTTAAAAATGTATTATCTAAACAGTCTTTATTTTTAATTAAATTTCACTATTTCAAATATTGAAAATGTTTTTATATTTTTATTACTATTTTGATAGAATTTCAAAAAAATTCTTTTACTTCAAAAGTATTCAAGAAATTCATTATTTTTTTGAAGATGCTATGTTGTTGGATTAATTTAAAATTTTATAAAAAAAATGTTTATTTATGTTTTACTAACCTTTGTTTTTATTAAATATTTTATTAAAAAATTATAAAAAATTTTTATTGAAATACCTTTAAAATCTTTCAAACACTTTTGAAAAGATTATAAAAAATCATTTAGGAAATTCAAGCACCACTTTTAATTTTCTTTTAATTTCATTATTGGAAAATTTTTCATTTATTTTCATTTCTAAATTTACATGATACAAATAAAAAAATATAATTATAAAAAAATTATAAATCTATTTGTCTAACACATATTTTTAGTTTTTTTACATTATCAAATGATTAAAACATATTCTTAATATAAAATTTTAAATATGTATCTAAATAAAAAATAAACAAATAAATAAGTAAATTGATAAACAAAAAATAAAACAAAAATAACATAAAATGAAATGAAATGAAAATAAAAATAAAAATAAAAATACCAAAATAAAAAACAAAAAAAAAAATTAATTGACTTGTGTCCAAAACAAATAAAAAGTACTAAAAGTTCTTTCTCCAAATCACTCCTAATCAATTTATTTCATACCTTAATTAATTCTCTAATCATTTTTTATGTCTTATCATAGCTGTTTTTGAATTTGAAGAAACTCACAAATATATAAAAAAAAGATATATGATTTAAAAATTTAATAATAACTCTATGGATAAACTTATTGGTCTTATAAGGAAAAAATGTAAGTTTAAAAAAATTGGCTGCATTCAAAATTAACATCAAAAGAAGGTTACAGTCTACAAATCCAAATATGAATTTTGAATACGAAGGAACTTAAATTTATGGTCTGAAAAATGCATTGATTATGTTGGACCAGGTAACTCTCCTTTGCAGATGGTTTTCAACACTCGAAATCTGATAAAGCAGCGTCATTCCAGTTTTTGAACTTAAAATTTGTCACAGACTCTACCGGTAAATATTTTTGTCCCAATTTTCATGCGCTCTTAATCTTTACTGTTGACTGAAGTTTTACTTCATGAAAAAAAGTGGAATAGAATACAAATGACTCAATAATCAGATATCACGGATAAAACAGTCGAACGCCAACAGAAAGAGACAAAGGTTTGAAAAGATTACAAGAATAAGCTTCTCATGGGCATTTTAACAAACATTTGGTTGTCCCAATCAGCCACTATCCATATGAGTCAAAACCAACACATTAAACAGCCTAGATTCAAGTAAAATAGCAAAATAATCAATAAAAACAAAATTTATTACAAACCAAGAAGAATAGGAGCCATTGTAGGAGTTGGGGATTTCTCTTTCCAAACTTGATATCCTTCTAATCTCAAAATTCTCTTTACTAACTCATGGACACACTTCATTTCTTATTCTTTTCAGTTTCAAGGTGCACTTGTTTTACCTTTTTAAATTGATAAACAACAATTTTTTTAATTGAACTTTCCAACATAAATTTCATCAATTAAAGGGTAAAGGAAAAGTATATACAATCCACTAAAAGTCCAGATAAAACTTATAATTTAAAATACCAAACTAATTGGTTTTTTTTTTTTTTTTTTTTTTTTTTTTTTGCGAATGAATTTAATCAAGTATTAAGAAAACGATAATAAAAAGTTTTTTTTAAAAAATTTAGTGATAAAAAAGACTCAGTTTTGAACTTCTTTTTTTATTTAAACACTTACATACTTTTACTATGAAAGGAAGAAAGAAAATTTTCAGAAAATCATAATACTCAAGTAACTTACGATATGAAGTTGTCGGTTTCAGATATAAAACATGAGATTATGTGGCTTTACGAGGACTCGTGTATCCAAAAGCGATCGTTAGGGTGAGTGTCGCTAGCATTCCCTTAAAATGTTTAGCACATTCCATCTCTCAAACCGTCATTTGTTACTCTCACTAAAACCCCATCTTGACATTCCATTTGGAAACTCAATTTTGCAACAATCTTCAATTTTCTATTTAATTTAAAAGATTAGAAGTGTATTTAGAGTATTTGTAAAACAGATTTTACCTCAAAAGCAAAAACCAGCTTGGAATTATGGTATATATATGCTTTTGTCATTAAAAAAAAAAAGTTAATATCACAAATAATTTTTAAACTATAATAAAATATTTAATGTAATATTTTAAATTTTAAAAATTTTTAATATGATATATGAATTATAAATTTATTAATTAATATAATACTTGAAATGTTATTTTTTGTCACATTTTATTATTTGAAATTAATAAGGTTAAAAATAAATACCACATATAAAATTTTTAAATCTTAACATTATATTAAATATTTTACTATAATTTAAACATCATTGATGATATTAATCTAAAAACTTAATTCATCTTTTGTATAGATAACGGTATGCCAACGCCAATTTACAAGCCCAAAAAAGACATTAGAAAAGTTTTTTAAGATCTTCAATGCTCATCAACCATCAAATCTTCCAAAAAACCAGAAGTGCTTGGCAAAAGAGTGGTGTGTAAAATTTCTTACCATTGCTTCAAAACAGGGCAAAAGGAACATAGACATTTTAGCATATCAGAATTCTCAGAACTTGTCACAATGACTTTGTATATCCTGACTACACCTGATTTGGTTTTTGCAAAGAGCTAACAACAGCCTTGCTCCTGGATCGATAATTCTACACTATTTATACAAATTCAAACTTCATTAGAAGCCTTACATTGGGGAGTTTCTTTCCCTTTTTGTCATGCAAAGGGACTGACCGGATCCCCGTCATTATCTCTGCGACAGGCAAACATGTCTGGCCACCAAAGTCATCTTTCTCCGACATGTCATACTCGCGTACTTCAATCCTAAGCAGAGCCAGGTCTGGAACAGTCAAGGGAAATGTGAATTCTTCATCCCATACAGGACACCAATCATCTCGAATTATCTTTGTTTTCCTTTTAGCTTCATCTGCTGGCACCCCTACAATGTAAACCTGCAATTTGGTTGGTAGATAGGAATTAATTGTGCAAAGACATAAGGAGATGAGCTATACTCATCGTATATCATAAATTTTTGAGGGAGCCACACCTCAATCTATCTCTTTTACCAACATATCCAGGGCCACAGGCTTATCTTTTCGAGTTCTTTAATAATATTAGCACAAATTTGAATGCAAGACTCTTTTTCCAAATAGTTAATTGGTTTATGAGTCATTAGGGAGAGCCTTGTTTATTTATTTTAATCACGTAAATGAACCAGTTGGATGGTTGATAGTTCTTAATAAAGGTCGTGAAACTCATATTGCAGATCTAGTCTAAAGAAGCTCAATCTAAATGGAAATTATCCACATATTGCAAATTTGCAATGAGAAACATGCAGCAATATAGTAATTAATAGAATATGATCAACCGCATTTAGTTCATCAGTAAGCTGGAATTGTTCTCAAACCTTTGTGTAGAAGTCTGGAGGAGAGTATGTATCGAAGTGTGTGTGGCTAAAGTCCAACCGCCATCCATCCCCCATATATATTTTCACCTGTTAAGTTACAAAATGCTCTAAGAAAAAAGTCATAATGTAAATGACTTTCAGTTTGAGCCAAGCTAATATGCTCACCTTTAACTTTTTCTGCAAGGGCAATGTTGTTCTGGGATCAAAAAACTCATCAGATGGTCCTTCCCGCATCAGAAAATCGGGTTTTCTTACATAACCACATCCTCCGTTGGCTCTAAACATGCCATGCATCAACCAGAGTGATTTTCCATATCCCTGATAAAGGACATTCAAAAATAAGGAGTAGAAAGTTTTACAGTTATTAGCACCGTGAAAATTAATACACCCAATTGTCTGCTTAAAAAGAGGAATTTCTTTGACAAAAAATAAAAAACTGTAAAATTGCAATGCGGGGGTAACCTGCATGTTAAATGCTATCATCTGAGCTCCATGCATCCATCCAATAGTTGGATTGTAGTTTGAGGAAGTAAAACGTGTACCCTTTGGATAGATTCTCAGGATATTCTTCTGCGTAAACCTGAAAAAGTTAGCACGTGTTAGTGTAGGTTATGCACAGAGAATATAGACAATAGAAAGTATAAACATCTTTGAGAATTTAACAGGCACCTTACAACATCAGATCCATAAGATCCTGCAGCCCTTTCAAGCTCTTGTTCACTCAAACTAAGACGTCTAACCTTATCAGCTGCAACTTCTAATGCATCTTTTAAGGCACCCTTTGGTTTTCCAGCATGAATGGTTATTAGGCACTTGTACGCAGATACCCCCGTTTGGCCTGATTTGCGATTGCATTCGTTGAAGTCTTCATCATCATGATCACTATCACTCTGATACCAGTGAAAAGAGTTCTTTCATATTAGCTAATATAGAAATCAAACTATGTCAAGGTAAAATAAATTTCTGCCTTACCTTATCATCAACTTCTGACTCAGATATATTGACTTTCATCTCCTTTGGGGATGCTTCTTCTTCAGAGAATCCCATTCCATTTCCACCTGGTGACAAATTGTCTTTGGGCCTAGACTCTAGATATTCTTTTGGGGGTTTGGTTGAAATAATTATTCGATGTTTCAATGATTCTGGTGAAGGGAACTCACTTAAGCGATCTGACTCTGGGTAGTAAAGCATAGTTCCAAATGTTTGAGTGACCATCTATATGAGAAATCATTTGAGGTCATCTTAGAGGAAATTTTTTTTCTTACACACATCATAGAGAAAAATTGAAAGCAAAAATAAGTGCTTAACTCGAAGTTAATTTCTTGGAAAGGGAGAAAAAGAGGACTAACCTCAGCAACTCTAGCCTGCAGTTCTGGTGTAAGGTGGTCTTCTAATGTTATAATAACAGGGTAAGGAGAACTAGCAAAAGCATACTCCTTTATGGACATCAAACATTTGATAAGTGACACTGGAGTAGTCAGGGTCCTACATTTTATACATTGATGATACTTTTAGAGAAGTTTAAAATGCAATCACCAAAATCAAGTAAACTGATGGTTCTATAAAGATTATACACTAAAATGCAGTTGATTAATGGACTGTAAACCATCGCATCTGATCAGTCCTTAAAAAATAGTTTAAATTGCAAATGCAATGTACAATAGGTTCAAAATCTTTGGCTCAAACCAGTGTTTGCGATGTGTTTCAACTGAAAAACGTTGCCAAACTAGGCTTAGATTATGGATTTTACTTCCTTCCTTCCTTCCTTCCCTTCTTAAACAATTCATAGCTTGTCATAATCCTATTATCTATATTCAAACAGAATACATTTAGAGATCCAAAAACTATTACATCAGATGAAATTAATAGTTTGAAACTAGTAGAAATATAACATTCATAACTGTCGGGAGCTTCTTAGAAATTGCTAAATTTGAGAATCATTCTTAATTACCTTCCATGAAGAACAAGAATTTCGTCTTTTGTGGAACTTGGCCATAAATCAAGTTCAATAACTCTGACACCTCTTTGCAATGCCTTGATAATTGGGACCTCACTACAATCACTGCTCAGTTGATTCCCAGTTAGATAGGAATTATGCCCCGTATATATGAAATAATGTGACAATGGAGCAGTCATATCATGGTGTACCTGGAAATAACATATATCATTTGTCAAACCTAAAGTAGTAAAATCAAATAAGGAAAAGTAAAAAGAATTTATCATCAATAAAAACTTTGAGATAGACAAAAAGAAACGTATAAATTGAACATCAAAGAGGCAATTATAACAGAACATCAACACACAACATCTAAAACAGGTCCCAGCTTTTTTGCACATCAAAGAGATAGGTTTGAACTTATTTTGCAATAACCAAAAGGGATCTACTCTGCTTCCATGACGATGACAACAAAGAAACGCCATTCTTTTCCTCTTTGCCCACTTTGGCCATGTAAAATTTCAAATCAGATTATCTTTTGCTTGAGATATTATTTGAAGTCATAACTTAATTCTAATATCATCAAGAATATATAATATGAAGGTAGAAATTGAATTATTAGATTAACAGATACAAATTAGTGAAGTTGATAGATTATCCTAGTCAAACTCAGATCTTGTTTCAATTTCCAATTCCAACATAATAATAAAAACATGATCCTATTTGATTCATGGTTATGGATTTGTTTATTGGGAGAGAAAGGGAGAAAGAAAATAACCTGAGTTTTAATAGGGCCATTGAGATCATCAAAGAAGAGAAAGTGAAAGAAATCATCAAGGTTAAGCGAGTGCCTAGCAAATCTAGTCACATGGTGTCTCCTGTTAACAACCTGTTCGATGATACGCTCAGCATCTTCCAGGGTCGAGTCAACCTCACCCTGGTGCACCACCAGGAACCATTTGAGCTGCTCAGCAGTCATGTGGGAAGCACCATCCGTGAATCCGGCAAAAGCCTTCTTGACATCAGCAGGAGGCTCCACCTCGTTGATCTTGAACTTCCTGTTGAAGAAGTTGAACATCTTGTAGTTGTAGCTTCCATTGTCAACGTTCTCGTTCTTCTTCTCCTTCCCCATTATTTAGTTTCTTGTGTTGATTTTTCCTTTTTGGTTTGGTCTCTGTGGGTTTTTTTTTTTTTTGGGATTCAATGGAGAGAGATTGAGAGTTTTGCCAGGCCCTTGAAAATAGGAGTTTTTCAAGCTGGATCGCTGGAACTCAACGTTCTCTCGTAGTAAACGAGGATTGGACTCTATTCTATTACCATGTTTTCTTTTTCTTTTGCCAATTTTAGCTGGTCTTTGGTTTCCAAAAACTTTTTCATTTTTAAAAAACAATTTTCATTTTTAATGAAAATGAAAGAATACTTTTGACAATGAAAGGTGTTTTCCTGTCAAGAATTGAACTCAAAACATTTATTTTTCTTAATAAACAAGAAATCATCGAACTATGTAGTTGTTGGCATATGTTGATCAGTTTGTTTCTTGGCATTTTTGTATATTTTTATTCTGTTATTCAAGATTTTTTTCTTGGTGCTTTCTTCCCCACAAGGAGAAGAAAAAACAAATAGAACATCAAAATAATAATTGTTTGAATATACATCTTATGTTTTTTTTTTCAACAATGTTAATTGAGAGTAGTTGGGCAAATAGGATGCTGTCAAACTTCAGTTCTTAGAAAATTTGGAGTGGTTTAAGCCATCCAAAAAAACCATGGCATTGCTTCAATAATAAACAACATATAATATTAGCATATAACCACTACATGTGAATAGCATCGTTTAGTGATATATAAATATATATATATATATATATGATCTTTTTCATCTAAAAAAATAATTTTAATATTAATTGTTGCTTGGATATTTTTAAAATATAAAGTGGTTAAGCATATTCATCGTATATACCTAGGGTTTAAACTTTTTCTTTTTTTATAAAAGTGGCAATATAAAGATAAAAAAGAAAATTATAGGTTTTGAGATTTTAATTTTAAATATATGTTATTGACAACATAAATCAATTAAATTAAATTTTAATTGAGATTTAAATTTTTTAAATATTAAAATAAAGATAAACCTAATTTATAATGAATATATAATATTTAGAGAACGTCTAGTCCTATCCTACTTGTAAAGGAGAGAAAAAGTCTATGAATAAGTATTATAATAACTTAAATTATAAATTTTGCCCTTTTTCTAGTTGAATGAACTAATCTTAGTTTGAGTTTCTTTTTTGGCATGTTCAATTGCTTTAAAAATAATAATAATAATAAAAAAGTTTTATTATTGTCAGCTTGATGGGAAGCACATGTGTCATGGGTTGAGATTCAAGCTTTGAATTCACGCGGTTTCGAGATCCAGATATCTATTCATCTGATCCCCTGACTTCACGATTTTATTTTACAAAAAGCACCTCATAAGGTTGAGGTGGTGTGAACCCTTTTATATCCCAGTGACCTTCCTATTATGTTTGATGCGAGATTCAAGACAAGTACCTCATAAGGTTGAGGTGGTGTGAACCCTTTTATACCCCAGTGACCCTCTTATTATGTTCGATACGGGATTTAAGACTTCTCTTTAGGTCATTTTATACCCCAATGACCTTCCTATTATGTTCGATGTGAGATTCAGGACTATGTGGGATTCAGAACTTCTCCTTAGGTCCGACCTCGTGACGCCCTCGTCATGGAGGTTGGTCACCCTGCCTTCCTCCCTCAAGGTGTCTGGCGTGGATCGAACGGTTTAGGGTTGGCTCTGATATCATTTGTCACAGGTCCGACCTCGTGACGCCCTCGTCATGGAGGTTGGTCACCCTGCCTTCATCCCTTAAGGTGCCTGGCGTGGATCGAACGGTTTAGGGTTGACTCTGATACCACTTGTCACGGGTCAAGACTTAAGCTTCGAACTCGCGCGATTCCGAGACCCGGGTATCCACTCATCTGACTCACATATTCTTCTGAATTATATGTATCCGCAGGATTAATTTGGAAAACCAGTAAGGATATGCAAGAACAAACAATTTTTATTGGAAACATCGGTCTATACTGGTACCCCTTCCTCCCTCAAGGTGCTTGACGTGGATCGAACGGTTTAGGGTTGGCTCTGATACCACTTGTCAAGACCCGGGTATCCACTCATCTGACGTCCTAGATCAGCCTACCTACCACGGTTTACACTCTTGTGAGATATTATCCGCTCTAGCCCCCTGATCTCACGGTTTTGTCCTACAAAAGACGTCTTACAAAAAAGAAATGATGTGAACCCTTTTATACCTCAGTGACACTCTTATTATGTTGGATGTGCGATTCAGGACTCCTCCTTAGGTCCGTGACATTCTCCTGCACCCAACCTTGTGACACCCTCGTCACGAAAGCTAGCCACTCTGCCTACCTCTCTCAAGGAGCTTGACGTGAGTCAAACGGTTTAGGGCTAGCTCTGATATCACTTCTTCTTTGTAAAACGCCTTTCGTAAGATAAAACCGTGAAGTCAAGGGGTTAGAGCGAACAATACCTCATAAAGGTGTGAATTGTGACAGTTAGGTTGATCTGCGACGTCCTATAGTCGCACGGATTTAAAACTTAAGTCTCGACCCGTGATACATACACCGGATCCCTGCTGGGCGGAATTTATTGTCACCTTCCTAAAATACGAAGTACTGTTCCTAAAATACCATCCTCTTGCGGTTATGCATAGAGATTTGAAATATGAGAATCTTGTGTTTGTTAACGAGGATGATGGTTTTTTCTTTTAAGGCCATTGATTAGGAGCTGTTTTTTAGGGAAATAATTAACTTTATTTTGTAATTTTTAAATGAATTAGAAGATGTTTGAGACGTAGCTGCTACGTAGATATTGCAATATCTTTGCATTGCATATATATTCATCGATTGCTTGCTACAGAAGTAATACCAATATATCTAAGCTAGGTCTTCCAGTGATTGCGAGATGAATGATTTGCTGCAAAAATAGTAGAAAACAAAGGATTATGTGCTATTGTAAGTGGGATCAAAGTTGTTGCTTGCATGACAAGTAATTTATCTCATAATTAGCTAATATTTACCGATAATAAGCCAGCTGCTGTTAAAGATAGATGTCTTGTTAAATTCAGTTGCTCTGGAAGCCTGTATTATGTAGCTTCAGAGATGCTTCTTAGTAAGGGTTATGGACAGGTTAGCGATTTATGGTCTGCAGGGGTTATACTGTTTACATTGCTGGTGCTGGTATGCTTCCATTTAAAGCAGGTACAGTGACAATGATTTGCTGCTGCTAATAAGATCATACCATAGTAAGAACAATAAACAAAATTAGAAGAAGGAAAATCATTGAGAAATTGATGTAATGAGTTTTTTCTTTGTCAACTAGTAGGATGTGCATTAAATTTTTTCTTTGTGGACTTCAGAAACAGTAAAAGAAGTGCTAGATAGAAATGCTAGATTTGGTACTGGAAGAACAAATGAATTTGGAATCAGAGCCATGGCCTCTGAAAGATCTGATAATCCAAATGACCTAGTCTGGAAGATGTTATGCTCTCAACCATCCGAACTCTTTACTGCTAAGGAAGTGCTACGTAAGCATTTCTATATATGACTTTCATAGCTGATGTTAACTAATGGTGAAGCTACATTTGATAGTACAATATACATTAGAAAGGTTCTGGTTTGATTTTAAAAGTGCAGATCAATAAGTCATGTATGTTTAATTTGCTTTGATTTTTTAGATCATCCTTGGATTTGCGAAAACGAAATTGGATTCAGCTTTACTTCCTAATCGAGAAAAGTTTCCAGCTATGAAACTACGCTCAGACTGACAAGAAAGAAAATTTGCAACACCAGATGTCCACTTGCCAATGAAGAAACAAAGACAATAGTCAGATAACAATTGAAAGTATAGATGAGAAAGCATGTCTATGTCTTGTAAGATGATGCAAACACCAGAATTCGTCTCTGGGTAGTTGCTGATCCAATTGTAGGAACAGGCAAAGTTGATTGATCTCTTTATGTTGTATTTCAGTTCAATTGAGAGTCAATGCAGGCTTGTAAAAGACAAGAAATACTCATTTCTCATCTTAGAAACATCCGCATTTGTTTTGGAAACTCTTATGTAACACCGAAAACAAATATTTACTGGTTTTACTAGCATTATTTCTTAATTATAAAAGCCCAACATGACAGAATGATTAGAAGAACTAAAAGTAGAGCTATGTATCATCGACAACTATATCCGCAATGCTAAGTCCTTCAAATTGAAGTCCTATCTTTTACAAAGAAACAATTACATAAAGCCACACCAAAACATAGGATTTCCCATTCAGTACAAGGAAATTGGAAATTTTTTCCAAACCAAAAAAATTTGCCTAGACAAGAAAATGCTGCCGGCAGCTAAAGTATTTAATCTTGACAATTACTTTTAATTATCCATAGATGAGACTTGAACATTTGGTAACCCTGAAACAATCGGAACTGTACTGCTTTTTTTTTTTTTCTCTTCCGGTGCACGAATCTGTACTACATTTAGTCATCCACTTCAACAACTTTGCATTTGGTCATTTGAGCAACCGAAGATAATAGTATAATTATCTGATACGGGAACATGGGATGCCTGAATCTATTTGACTTTATATCGAGGGATTAAGTTAGAGCGTCAGACATATTTCAGTAGTAGGATTTCCAATGAAATTAGTTCCCTGTTTGTTTTTTCTTTAATTCTGTACATGGTTTTTGGTACTCATCAGTTATTCATCCCCAGTAGGAACAGAACTTCTTAGCTAAAGAGGTATATATACTTGATATTATCACATATCTCTAAGTTTCTTCGGTAAACCAAACGAAAATATCCCATTATCCAACGTGATCTCTTCCTCCTTTTCAGGGCCAAATCAACTTCTGCTGTTGGCTACACATTGAAGCTAGAGAGCTGATCCTTGGCTGGTAGTTCTGCCCTTGTAGCAGCATCAAACTTGATTCTGTCATCAGTTTCATGGGAAACGAATGCATTCGATCTCTTGGATCAGTATTTCATCAGAACTACAATCTCCAAAAGGACAAATCTTCGCGTTCCAAACTCAACAACCCTGTCATAAGTTATAACATTGACAACCTAAGTATTTTAGGCCATAAAACTCCTAATATTCGTGACCTTTACAAGTTCGGGCAGAAGTTAGGACAAGGACAATTTGGAACTACTTTTGTTTGTACTGAGATTGCATCGGGGATCAAATATGCATGTAAATCTATACTGAAAGAGAAGCTGATTTCCAAGCAAGCTGTGGAGGATGTTAGAAGGGAGGCCCAGATAATGCAGCACTTGGCTGGTCAGAAAAATATTGTGAAGATCAAAGGTGCCTACGAGGATCATTTGTATGTGCATATTGTGATGGAGCTGTGTTATGGAGGTGACTTGTTTGATCGAATCAAAAAGAGGGGGCATTGTTACAGTGAAAGAGAGGCAGCTAAATTGATAAAGATTATTGTTGGGGTGGTTGAGGTTTGTCATTCACTTGGGGTTGTGCATAGAGATCTAAAGCCAGAGAATTTCATGTTGGTTAACAAAGATGATGATTTCTCTCTCAAAGCCATTGATTTTGGATGCTCTATCTTCTTTGAATCAGGTCAGGAATAAATATATATATATATATATATATATATATTACTCATCTTCTTGGATTGAATTGAAGTAACTTTCTTTTTCTTTTGATAAGAGAATCAAGTTCTTTAACATTATATATATCTTGATGAATGCTGCATTGCTGCTTTAGGCCAAGTTTTTACTGACAGGGTTGGAAGCCCATATTATGTGGCTCCTGAGGTAATCAACAAACATTATGGACCAGAAGCAGATGTATGGTCTGCAGGGGTTATACTCTACATATTGCTAAGTGGTGTGCCACCATTTATTGCTGGTATTTACCATGAACTATGATATCCTATGCAGCAAAAATTACTGATAAAACCATAAAACTCATTGCCCAAATTTACTTAATATTATGAAAAAGTCATGGCAAAAATAAAAGTTTTTGCAACAGAAAACTTACGACGTCTTATGTTAAAACTAATTTATTCTGCCTTTCAGAAACAACGCAAGCACAATTTGAGGCAACGTTAAAAGGGCACATTGACTTCGAATCGGAGCCATGGCCTCAGATATCTGACAGTGCAAAGGACTTAATCCGAAAAATGTTATGCCTTCGACCTTCAGAACGCTTGACTGCTGGAGCCGTTTTAAGTAAGATCTTTCCAAGGTTTTCTGGCTGATATAAACAAATAAGTGTCATGTGATTTTGTTTTCGAAAATCTCACAATATCATTTGCTTTGTTAACTTTGTTTAGACCATCCTTGGATTTGCCAAAACATATGACATGATGAAGCTGAAGAATGCACCAAGAAAACACAGATAAAGCTTTAAAGTGAAGATGAGATTGATAGAGGAGATGAATATATCAGAAAGGCAAGAGTTTTATTGCGCTAAAAATCAAAATTTTTTAAACTAGCATTGAAAGACTTCTTCAACTGTTTCAGTTGCTTTCACTGCCTGATTTGCTTTTCAGTTCTCAAATGTGACAAATAATAAACCTATAAAAAAAAAAAAAAAGCATTTGACATTGTTGGGGGCTTGATTTGATGAAGACATTCTGTTTAGATTTTCTCTTGACTGCAATTTTAGCTTGATGCTGCTGTTTTGGACCATAATTTTTCTTTCTTTACTATGGTGCTACTCTTTGATAGATCCTTCTACTTGCTTTACCATTGTCTTTGCTTTCTTTTTCTTGGCTTTGCTTTATGGATAAATGAAAAATTGCAGTTCTATTTATATAATCAACGTCTACTTTTAGCGAAGGTTTCAATGATTTTACGGTATATAGCTTCTTTAAATAATAATTTTTTTTATCAATAACTTATCTTTATTGATTTATACAATATTTATAACATTTAATAAATTTAGAGTTTAAATTTTAATATTTACAATTTTTTTTTTAATCTTCAAACCGCTAAAAAATTCCTATGAAAAAAAAGTTACTCTGTCTTTGGAAAAAGTTGTTAATTACAATAGAATGAACTAATCTACTTATTGTAGAAGTTACACATTTACTATGACTCATAGAATAAGAAAATAAGCAAACATCAACCATGGTGACACTTTAAAAACATAAATCACAATGTCTGAAAAATCTCTTCTATGTTAAAATTTTGCATAAGATAAAAATGAAAAGGTCCAGTTTTTTTATATAAATAAATAATAATAATAATAATAATAATCCAACATTTAGTTCTAAGACACATTAAATAATTAAATAATTCAACATTAATAAAAATGACAGTAAAAAAAACACATATCTCAACCTCTTAAAAATCACTTTTATATTAAAATTTTGCATTCTTTCAAAAATTAACAAATAAAAAAGAGACATTTTTTTTCCCTGTATTATTTTTATCAAACTAAAAAATAATGTATTAATTACAAAATTCGGCCCAACAACCTCTTTTCAACTAAGTACTAACCTTCTTCCCAAGCAAGGAAATCTGTTTTTCCCTGCTAAATCTATACACTACAGAAACCAAACGCTCTATATTTTCCCCATCGAAGCTGCTGAAACAGAAGCAGAGATGGCAACCACAACGAGATTGGCTTCGGTAGCTGTGTTGTGGGTTCTAGTTCTTTTTGGAACCTTAGCTTTGATTCAGGTTCCCTTTCTCTCCTCTGTATTTCCTCACAAAAAATGAACGCAAAATTTATTTTTTTTCTTCTTTTTGATGTTTTTAGAATCGATTAAGCGATGCAGGAGTTTCAGAACCCAAGATTAATCAGGTTTTCCAATTCAATTATGTAATTTTTTTTTTCAACTTTATGAATTCATAGGGTGTGTTATTTGAATTGAATTTTTTTTTTTTTAATGTTTTTGTAGGTATTTGAGGATGATTCAGAAAAGGTTACACATAAAGTTTACTTTGATGTACAGATTGATGGAAAATCTGCTGGTATGCTTGCGTTTGGTTTTCTGTAGAAATGGGATTTCATGTGTTAAGTGTATTTATAAAAATAATGCTTTTTTTTGGGTAATTGATAGATGAAATTTTCTAGTGCATAATGCAAAGTTTACATTTTTATTCCTTAAAATTGATTTTCCCACTATCTAGTGTTGCATTAGTCATTCTGCATGAGACTCTTTTTTTTTTTTTTAATAAATTTAGAGTCTTGCAAATAAAACATGCAATCATTAGTTAGAATGATTGGATGATTAGATGATGAAACAAATCACTCATCTAAGAACATAAAGTTTTTCTTCAGAATAAGACAAGATAGTTGAAATTTTATATGGAAATGATTAACTGATTTTTGTTACTCTGCATCTTTTTGCTTAGAAGGTCTCTTAGATACACTCATGGAAGTATAATATGTTCATAACTTTTGGCTTTCAGGTCGAATAGTCATGGGCCTATTTGGGAAAACAGTTCCTAAAACTGCAGGTATATTGCTCAAGAACCTTTGCTGTCCTCTGATTTTCCTTTTTCCCATAAACTAATGCACTTGCTAATCATGATTTTTCTCATACTTTCTTTTTTTTTTTTTTGCAGAAAACTTCCGAGCCCTTTGCACGGGTAGCCAAGTAACTTTTGCTCCCATCTTATATTATAACTTTATGGCTTTGATTGTGCTGCTACTACAATTTCTTAAAGTATGAAGTTTTTTAAGTAAAGTTTGTGAAGTTTCTTTTTAAAATTATTTAATAAAAACTTTAATAAAAAATCCAAACCATAGATTGATTGAGTTAAATGTGAAGATCAATAATATAAAATATTAAAAGTGTTATTTATAATTCAAATTTGATCGATACTTTTTCAATGGAAAAAATCTTGTCAACTTTTTTTTTTCTAAAATTGTCTATCTAAAAAATATATCAAAATTTATTAAAATATTTTGAAAATTTGCACACTTGATCTATGTAATGAGATCTTTCAATTTATCGGTCTTTATTTTTTATTTTAATTTTATTTAATCATTTATAGTAGAGAATTTCATCTAAGGAACTTTATCTAAATCTTTCCTTATTCTCTAAGTAATATGATTTATTTCTCCTAAATACGAAGTAGGCTGAATAATGTCTTGATAGTATAGCAATGATTTAGTAAAGTATGCTGTAATAAAAGGACAATCTTTTCATCAGTGGTGGATATTAGATAACAAAAGCAACTTATCTTGCATAATTTAGCAATGCAACTTATTGAAAATGCCTGGCCGATCCTGGCAGTCTATGGCTATGCCTGAGCCACCACTTTCTCACTCTGAGCTTTGCTTCATTGTCTTCTGGACCTAAACATGCTAAATAAATTATCTGTCTATTTGCACCTTGGATGTTTAGCCAGCTAATAAAAGTACTGTATTTGTTTATTAATATTAGCTTCTTTTTGACGTGTTAATGATAACTAAACAAACAGCTTTATTTGAGAGTCTTATGGAATTGGTCAACATGCCTTAAAAACTATAAAAAAGAGTGTAGAAACACTAAGTAAAAGTCTTCTTCTAACTGCAAATGCTAGTCAGTAACTAGATGTATAGGATGATAAGATCAAGGGATATGTGACATGTGGTATTTGAAAGTTTAGTTTGCAAAAGAAGGGTGGCTGAATTAATTAAAAGAGTAGATCTTTGCTTAAGTATTGATGCCTGACTTTTTCTTTGCTCTGATTAGTAATCTGGGAGAAACTCACTGCTTAAAGCTGTCTACTTATATTCATCCCATGTATCACAGGGGAGAAAGGAACTGGAAACAGTGGGAAGCCTCTCCATTACAAAGGGAGCACATTTCATAGAATTATTCCCAGCTTTATGATCCAAGGCGGCGATTTTACTCACGGGGATGGACGAGGTGGAGAGTCAATCTATGGTGAGAAGTTTGCTGATGAGAATTTCAAACTTAAGCATGATGGGCCTGGTAAGTTGGGATCCTTTTATACCTTATAAATTTCCTTCAATGCATTTTTTTTTTATTGTGTGTAAGAGGTTCTTTATTAATTGTTTTTGGAATGAACTTGAACACTGCAAATTAGAAAGGCGTGTAATAAGTATGTTATTTACGTATACAAAATTCCTTTCATTGTTGAACAGGATTGCTTTCAATGGCCAATGCTGGGCCAGACACCAATGGATCACAATTCTTCATTACAACTGTAACAACCAGCTGGTAATTATCATTTTTAATTTGTCTCCAGACCAAGTAAATATATTTATAGCGTTGTGTGTGACTTTTTGTATATCTTTCTTAATTGTGAAAGATGTGGAAATGCGCAACATCAGTTTTCTTATAACTTTGTGATTATTCGAATATAAACCAAAGTAGCAGAATGTTGTTTGTGCCAATCATTTTGCTATTTTCACATGAGCTTTCCTCGGTTCCATATTGTGGCTGAGGAATCATAAATTTGCATATTAAGCATTGCCCTTTGTTAAAACTGCATTTCTAAGGCCCTCTCAGATTTTCTCAAACTCGCACTTGCGTTTTTTATTACATTGGAAGGTTGGATGGCCGTCATGTTGTATTTGGCAAGGTGATCGCTGGAATGGATGTTGTCTACAAGATTGAAGCCGAAGGAAGACAGAGTGGGGTGCCTAAAACTAAAGTTGTCATTGTAGACAGCGGTGAGATGCCTTCGTAATTTTACACGCTGGTTTCAAGCAATTTAAACTTAGATTCCATACCCCTGTTCTAATTGGCAATATTTCCTTTATTTTAATTGTGCTTTGCTGTAATCATTTGGCACCACTCTGATTACAATATTATAAATCCTTCCAGAAAGAAACAAATACGCTGGTTCTATTTTGATTCTTTAACCAGAAGGACATGCCGATGTGATCAATTCCATTGTTCGATTAGAATAAGAGATCAAACTTTGATCAACAAATGATGAAAAGAGGTTAAACTTCATTGCTAAAAGCTTCCCCCTATCATGCCATTTTGTCCAATTCCTAGTTAGTTTGCTGGAGAAATGTTTTGAAACTGAAGCCTTTCCCAAGGGTTTCACGAGACTCTTATCTTCATCTCCAACCAAACCATAATAATAATACCACTAGAGCTTAACCCACATACAAAATTATCCCATCTAGGCAAACAAACATCCTCCCGATTATCCTCAATTTTATCGACTAACCATTAATATTACAAAGCAACTCAATCATAATAAAACCAAAACATAAATAAAATCCCAACATGATCTCAAACAAGTTTCATAAGGAAGACTAAGCACCCCCCCTTAACCATATCATCCCCTTAAAACACAAAACACAAGCAACTATAGAAAATATAACTGAAGAACCGCGGCAACAAATATTTCTTTTTTTTTCTCAATCGAAGTTCAGCCATACCTCCGGGCATCACCATTCTTGGGGTGGTCATGATTCTTTTGATGAAACACGGTGGAGAAATTGGAAGACAAATCAGAGTAAAGTGAAACAACCTTGGAGATGTTCCCATTTAGTTCTTGAATGAGTGCAACGTTTTTCACCATGTTGTCAGGAATCTTGGACTGGTGATTCTGGTTGACCTGCTGAATCAAGACACGGTTCCTGTCCAAAACAGACTGAACTTGCTTGAAACTCTTGTCAAATGTTGCCCAAACTTCAGGGTCTCCATCGACTTCCTCCGAATCTTGGTTCCGATGGTGTTTGAGTTTCTTGTTACTGTTGTTTGTGGGGTTGTTGGCCATGTTTTTCGATCCCTTTTTAATAGGAGTTGAGTTTGGTCATTTGCACGTAAAAAAGGGTATGGTTATCATACCATTTTTTGAGGTTTTGGGTTTGAGTGTTTGCAGAGAGGCAGGGAGAGTTTTGGGGTATAAATTCTTGAAGTATGGGGGCTGGTCACCATGAGAAGAGTTGCAAGTCGGAAGAAAACTGCATCCTACGCGCTACCAAAGCGAGTGTCACAAGTATTAACCTTTTACAGATAACAGGGTAAACCACAATATCTTGTCATGTGCGTTAAATATCTTCCATGCTTAATTGCTTACAAATATTTGGTTGAAAAAAAAAATCTATAAGCTATTATTTTATTTAAATAAATTTATATATTTTTATTAAATTTAAATAAAATTTTAATCTTATATTAAAACAAATTCTTGTTTAAAAAATAATCATTTCTGTTATAGTCAATGTTAATTATATTTTTTTATTCACATGAAAATATAATGACGTAGATAAAAATTAAAAAATAAATTTATTAATTTGTCATTTTTTTTTTCAATTTTCGATCACGTGAAACTGATAGTTTTCATATGGATAAAACATTTAATAATAGCGGATCGTATTAAAAAATTAATCTTTCATTCAGATTAAAATATTTTTTAATACAAATTAAAAGAAAGTTTTTATTAAATACAATAAAAAGATAATGATTTATGCAATGAAAAAATAAAAGCTCATTTATTATTTTAGTCAAAATATTTCTAAAGCAATCTTGTAAACTTTAAAAATTTTAAATTTGAAATATTTTATAATTATTTGACTAGCTAAAAAGATATTTTTTAATTATTTAAAACATGATGTAATTCGTTATTACTTAGTAATTAATAAGGATTTTTGTTTAAATTATTATATTAAAATTAAAATTCTATTCAATGCATTAAAATATATAAATAATAACAAAATTTTTTATTGAATTAAGCAAAAAATAAATTAATATCATTAAATATATAATTAATCTTTTAATCTTGCGTCCCATGCTTTCTGATATCTTCATCGCATAACTCTTTAAAGTTAGGAGTACTTGAAAAGTGAAAACAAAGTTGGTAGTGATTTTAAATTAAATAATAATAATAATAATAAGGCTGGTAGATGGAACCACGCGCCATGTCTGAAAGTGGAAAAAAGGCACATAAGAAATATCTTAGCCTATACTTCGATCGAGAAAAAAAATAAAAGGAAAAGTATCTCTCCAAGATAATATCACGAAAAAGTGGGCTTTTTTTAATGAAAAAAAAAGTTCAGATAGAGAGAATATTTCATTTTAAGCTTAGAGTATTTAATAAATTTGTGAAAATTGATGTTAAATTTATAAATTATTTATTAAATAATATTATTAATAATATAAATATAAATTTTAAAATGAAATATTCAATCTTATCAACTTCATCAACTTAGACAAAAAAAATTGCGCTAATTCTTTCCTCTTTTGCTGGATTGTACAAAATGAGTTAATGTTATTGTTTTCAATCAATTTTGAAATATGAAAAATAAAATTAAAATGAAGGTGTTGAATATCCAAGTTAAAAAAGTTGTCCAAAACATAATTTTCTCTTTTGAACATTTGAAATGCCCTTATTATATATTTAAAAAAAAAAAAGAAATATCCTTATTATATATATACATTTTAAATATATACCCTTATTTTATGTTAATACGAATAAATATAGTATAATAAAATTAAAGGGGTTGTTGTAAATTGGGCCCAGCTTGGAGAAAAAGTCCAAGCCTAGATAGTCAGAAAGCCCACCCCAAGACTCAGGCTGATGGTATTAAAATTTTCCATGAAATTTTTGTAACAAAAACCTATGGAAACGGAACATACCTAAATGGAAAATTTTTTCCAAGAAAATACTGAATCCAAAGAGCACTAAAAGCATAATCCAACGGAAAGGATACATATTCAGGTCTTCGTCTATGGTAATACAAACCTAATTCCAGTTCTGAGCTTTAGATTTAAATAGAGATATAAATAATATATTTATACTCGTAAATTACTCAAATTTAATTCGAATAAAATTCGAATTCGATTCAATTATTATCGAATCGAATTCGAACTCAAATAATTAAACTTATCGATCAAATTGAATTTAAATATTTTTATATCCGATTCAAATAATGCAAAAGTCTAATTGAACTTTTATATTTAAATATATTTTTATTATTTTAATTAATAAAATATTTCAAATTCGAGCATAAATAATCGAGTTTTTTTCGAATATAAAAATTAAATTTTTTTTATATATTAATCGAATTTAATCAAACGAATTTGAATAATTTGATTTTTCTCTCGAATCAAACTCGTACAAGAAAAATAAAATTTAATTAAATTTAAGTTGAGTTTTGAGTTTCAAGTTCAAGCTTAATATTGTATCAACTCAAACTCGATCGATTACACTTTTAAATTTAAGTCATTCAAACACAGCATTAAACAATTACTCTTGCTCTTGTCACTAAAGAAACATATAGGAGACTCAAAATTAACTGACAACGAAAAATTAAGAAGTCTAAGAATCTGTGTATTGGAGTCATGAAATGAGTTATGAGCATCATATTCATATACATGTGAACAAAACATTTTTCATCAATTTCGACCACAGGCGAACTAGAATAGCATCTACTCAATAGGCTTCCTCTTCCTTCCAAGAACTGAAGCCCTTTGAAGCCTTGGGCCACCCATCCGCCACTTCTTAAAGGCTGCCATTGAAGTCTGAGCTGATTCATACACTACAAAAAGCACGAACATAATCGTAATATTTATACGTGTAAAGGAGGCATAGCAGTAGAAGAAATAAGTTCTAACAAGAAAAGGACTCTCACAAATTGTTTCTTCTTTTGTTAGAAGTGGCAAGAACTTTGAAGTTGCCGTGTATGCTGCAGTATATGCCTTGGTCAAGATCTCCTTATACCTGATCTTGAATGCCGATAATAGCAAGATTTCAACGGTTTTATCACCAACCCTATCCCACAAAAATAGAATTACTGAGAACCATTTTGGTTTAGGACAGATTACGCATCAAATGAGACCAACACTAGCTATTAACAAGTTAAATTTTACCACAAAGGTAATTAACCAACTACCATATAGCAGATCAAACATAAAGTAAGGCTGACCACCAGATTAACTACCTTAAAGTAAGCAAAGTTTATGCTTACAATTCTAATCACAATGAACAGAGAGAGAATCTAATATTCATCATCTAATTTGGAATCCATTTAAAGCAGTCTCACTCACAATGACTATCGAGATGCTCTACAAGATTGAGGGAAAAGTCACAAAATTCAAACTTTTGAACTTAAAATGAAGAGCAATTCTTCCTATACTACAAGGATTGAAGGAGAGACTCACAGTGGTGCTATCTTGCATCCAAACTCATAAAAATATGGAGACCGAGATTTAAGATCCACACAAGCTGCATCAGCTTGGATTTCCAACCTTGTTCTGGCCATACAAAAAGAAAGCATCATCAATAACGCACAAAGACAACTTTGCAAGCAAATAAATAAATCATCCAGAGATTAAAATTAGATGTATTGGATAACAAAATAAGTTAATCATCATTCTTCCATTGCAACTACACACACTTATGCTAGAAGCTATAACCCCATACCGCTTCGAATAAAGTGGAACAAAATTCATTGAGAAATAAAATCAAACACCTAGTATTACTAGTAGTACCAAACCAAATTCAACATAACTGAAATTCAAATTCAATTTAAATTAACTACAGCCAAACTACCTAATAAGAAGAATAAAACTTTTGATAGCTAGTAATAATAATAAATAAATAAAAACTTACTTTTGATTGAAACAGGCAGGGACGCTAATCGATATGGCTTGCCTGAAGTATAATTCTTGAGCAAGCCACAATGGCAGCTCCACCTTTGCTCCTTGTTCAACCTGAGAACCAAACATCAGAAAACTAACCCTTTTTTTTTAAGAAAAAAAAAAGGTCTTGACAGGAAAAGCTTAACAAAACTTACGGAGTTAGTTTCGGAACTGGGATCAATTATAACTCCATTTGCTGCTTTATGAAAAACAACTGGAACAAACTGCATCAGCAAAAAAAAAAAAAAAGGCTGAAACTTTTAAGATGAGAAATTTGAGAATTAAACATAAGCAAAATTGGGGGGGAAAGGTGTTAAACCAACCTCTTCCTCTGTAAGAATATCATCGATATTGTAGTAATTTGCCATTTTCTTTTTATTCTTTTTCGATTTCTCTTTGATTCTGGCAAGAAGAAAATAAGTAAAGAAAAAAGGGAGGGGAAGAAAATTATGTGATAGTTAAGCTGATTTTCTGGGATTTGATTGTTTAGAGAATTGAGAGGGAAAATTGAATGGGAAAAAGGAGGGAAAGTCGAAAAAATAGAATGTGTACAGTATGGGGCTGAGAAATGGGAACATCCAAACATGGTCTTGTTGTTATTTTTAATGGGCTTCAGCCCTCAGAATCATACTTGATTTAGTAGGATTTGAATGAGATTTTATTATTTATTTTTTTAATAAAAATAAAAAATAGAGAACCAATAAAATAGTGAACAGTAAATTAGTAGGTAATTAAAGGTTAGAAAAGGCCTTTTATGATCTAATTAGATAAAGAAAATAATATTAATTTTCTTCAAGAAAATTTTTTAAAAAATAAAATATAACTTTAATTTTTCTTTTTAATAAAAATTTTACTTAAAATCACTAAAAACTAATTTCTAATAGCTTCAAGTACAAAAAAAATATTTCCTTTTTTAAGTAGTAGAAACCTTAATAGCCACTCAAATCGCATTCCATCCTTATGATTTTAGAGATGCAAGTTGCTTATGTATACCTAATTATAGTAACTCTAGCAAAAGGCTTGGTCAAGATTTTTGGCATTTAGAAAAGAAAAAAAAAATCTTGAGAAGTTAATTATTTTCTATAAAGAGTTAAAGGCTTGAACCCTAATTTAATCCCAATTCCAAAAAATGACTACTTACAAGTATGATAATACAACCATCTCTTTGTTGCCAAGTTGTTCAAGAACTAATTAAGAAGGAAAATGATAATAATAAAAGAGAAAAAACAATCAGTTACAGTTGAAATTTGAAAGAAAAATTATTCACATCTCAAAAACCAATACTAGATGTTATAGATGATCAGCTAATGAAAGAAATTGCCAAAGACATACTGAAAAACAAAATACTAGTTGTTTATTCATCTTTACCATATATAAGGAAGGGAAAAGAAAATAAAATTTTGGATGATCCCAGAACATTTGTTATTGCTTTTGTTTGTTTGTTTGTTTGGTTGGCTATGACTCAAGCCAGACTTCTTCACCAAATAGCTTGAAGACTTTCTTCATGGTTTTGATTGTGAACGAGGAATCACCTTCAACATCCTTGTACAAAACAACCTTATCTCCAACTTGAAGTCTTTTTTCCTTAACAAACCGACGCCAACCTTTGGAAACCACAGGTTTTGGATGGAAATCTTTCTTCCTGGTGGAGCAACGAAACTGCCACTTTTGCCCACCTTTGTCCTTCACTTCGAAATCTGCACAACGATGAACTTGATCGAACTGGAATGCCCATAATATCTCGGATGGAACTGCCAGCCTATGTTCTATGTCTGTTGGAGACAGAACCTTTGAGAACAGGAACAGCTGCTTCATTACCTATCTTCAAACAAACTCTTCAATAAACGGTTTTTGTTAGAGAAATAAACCAAAATAATAATAATAATAATAATAATTTTAAGCACCTCATTTCTTGAATATGGTGCGACTTATATATTTAGATACTTTGGTTGCTCTTTAGGGACATCCAGCAATTCTTGTTTTCTTTTCCTTCATTGTCTTATTCTATTCTTATTTTATAAAGATTTTTTTAAATAATAACTTGTATATAGTCTTAAACCCTACCTATTAACAAATACTTTAAAAATTCATAACTAAAATATTATTTTTTGTGTATTTAAAATTTGTGATAGTTTAATAAATTTTGATTCGTCCTTATATGAGAGTAACTTGTTATCTTACTTATGGGTTCAAAATTAAAATTGATAAGTATATTTAAACTCATCATTAATTAAAACGATTAAATTTATTGGTCGAGTCAAATTTTATTAATATTACTAAACTTTAATGAGTTTCAAATGTTGAAATCATTGCATCAAAACAAATTATAATAAGTGGATGCCAAAGACTAAAATTTGTCTCTAAATTCCAATATTTGTTCAAATGGGTAGGTTTGGAGTATCACTTTAGTTGGAAAAACATATGTCAAGCTTTTGTTTTTCCTTTTCAAGGACCACTTTTGCTTGTGACTTTTCTCTCTTTGTTCCTGTCTTTTTCTATTTTAACGTCGTTAAAGTGGTACAAGTATATGTTTAACTTCAACTTTTGTGGGTCCAAAAACCCATATTTTAGAAAAGTAGATAAAGCTTTGTAAAAATATGGCTGGTTGTTTGAATGAAAGACAGCAACACGATTACTTCGAATCTATCTCGACTACTTTGAAAAATTTGGTGCTATTTCATCGAATGAGAAGACAGAAAGTACACTGTTGAGGGCCCATTTCCGTTGACAAATGCAGCAGTGATTTCCTACTTCCAAATTGCTTAGAGTTGACGGTTTACTAAATTTGAGCGAGCAACAAAAACCATAGTAACAGTAAATCGTATTTACATAAGCAATCAGTAATAGCAGTATTTACTAGGGATTTGTTTAGGGTCTAATGTCGTATCAAACCTTTTTTTAGAGTATAATATTTTATATCTAATTGATGCAATATTCAAATTTTTACCTAACTTTAAAGCTTGATATTTAAGAAACTCAAGTTATAATATTAATAATATTCTCATCTTCAAATATTTTAATATCATTTGTTATAAAATGTTACTAATTTATCTTTCCCTTTACATACTTTGTTGTGAAGTACCCTCAAAACTACTATAATAAACATAACAGCTATGCATTAGACATCGTCATATTTACGAGAGTTGTGCGTTTCCTCTTTCTATGGTGTCAGATGAGAGGAGGGCCAAGGGTTTGGACAATACAAGAATGGTGAATCCAAATAATTGTCTGTATCTCTGAGTAGATGATATGCTAGTGTGTAAAAATGTGTGTGTTATGAACGAAAGTGTGCTTCAAGAAAGGAACAAGAGATATGTTCCCACATGACGTTTAAACTGGACTCAAATGTCACATTGAAAATTAGAAAAAAAAATGAAAACAACAACAACAATGTTTCCTAGTCGGCCATGTCGAATCAAAGATTCTTGGTCTGTGCTTGAAATTGATATTTCTAGGATTATTAAGTAGGAATTGAACTTACCATAATATATAAATTTTACATGAATCAACTAAAATAAATTGAACTTACTAAAATATATAAACTCTTGATGGCTTTGCAAGAAGCAATCACAGTACTAAAATGTTCCAGCTCAGTCCTTTCTACAAATTCTGTTCATCTATAGAACTTCATCCTTTTATTTCCATGGGATTTGGAGATCATGAACTTAAAGAAAACTTGAACTCTAGCCCCATTGAATTGCTCGTGCAATGTCCAGTCGTACGGATTCAACATGGTTTTCCCATCAGCAGCAACAAGATTATAAGGTAAGTCCTCTGAGAAATCATTTGGCATAGATTTCCAGTGTAGAGGTGGCTTCCACTCAGCTTCTTTGAGTACTTTTAGTATCACTGCCACTACTATTTTGCTCCCCTCAGCAGATAGATGAACTCCATCTCTGATGAAAAGCAGAAATTTGATAATTCAACTTCCAAAAACTTCACCACAGTTATTTGACTGCAAGTTAAATGTTTCATTTGTGAAAATTAGAAAGAGGGTAAACTTTGAAAGATTAGCAACTACACTATATATATAGCACAAAAAGGGAAAAACAAAAAGAAATGAAAGAATCAAGCCTATCCACTATAATTACAATTTCGTTTTGGTCTCCCCAAGATTTATATATATATATATATATATATATATATATATTTTGCCAAACCCAAGATTTACATTCAAGCACCATTAAAATTCATTCAGGTATCATGACTCGGAATTTTGGTTTCGGCTTCTCTTTCTTCTTTGTTCCCATTCTAATACAATGTTCACTGCTACATATTCTTAATCTTCTCATGTTTACTTTTCTTTTCATTTTTTAAATTACATTTTAACAACAGAAAAAACTGCACCAATTAGATTGTTTGTGTGAAATTGCATTGTACCATATCGGGAATAAGGAAAAATCAAAGTTTTCGTAACTTCAAAACAGAAGTGAACTGGCAATGGTAGCAAACCTTCCATTCCAAGTTTCCATACAGGAAATATCCTTGTCATAGCAAGAGGTATCATTAGTTCCCCAAAGTACCCTACCAAAAAAAAAAAAAAAGTTCCCTAAAGTTGCTAGCAGGAGGGGAAAAAGGCAGAAAAAAGTTATATGGAGAGAGACTTGAGTGGAAAACAAAGCACATGGATGATTCACAAATAAAGCCAATGAACTTTCCAAAATGTGATTGCTTCAGAAAAAGATAACATTAACTCATAGATAAGCAAACTTACGTGAAGCAATCAGTTGCCCAATAATCTCTTTGTTGAAATGCAGTAAAAAGATTGACTACCTTAACATCCAATTCCTGTCACAGCTTTACACAAGCTTCAGAATACGTCTGGCATAACTCATTGGTTCGGACAAGTTGGCTAAAACTTCACTGATTTACCGAAGGGACATCTTAGATTGACATTTTGCAATAAGAAATTGGGGAAAGAAGGCGTAGAAAACATGCATTTCAGCACCTTGTGTTTTTATTTACTCTTTTCTTCGTCAACAGGAGGACAAGTAAGAAAAATGAGGCACATTAAATCTGAAAGGCTCTGATTTTTCAGAAGAAAAAAAAAGTTAGAATGAGCATTGAATGTTACTCATCAGACAATGAAAAGACATGCTAGGTTGAGCTTAAGGCCAGCACTTAATAAATACAAGCAAAGGAAGAACAGAAATATTTGAAGCATTCGAAACCATTTTCTTCTTTCTGATTTGGTCCAAGAAATTAGGACATTGCCAAAACCTCATAAGAATGATTCAGCCCTTTCTTTTTCCTACTACTACGGAATCATTCTAGTAGTTGATTTTTGTATCTTTTTATTTTTTAAAACATTTTGGCATATTTCTTAGGCTCCATTTCACATGATAGAGCACTACATTTTACTATCTAAATAATGAATAAGTTTATCTTTGCACTACCTCCAACATCCACATTATTCACTCGACCATGTTTACAAGCTACTACATGCTTCATGCCATATAATGCAAGTATTGCTTTACAACTCCTAGATCAGTCAGTTTCTCTTAAGTCTACATTGATGCATCAACCTTAACTGAGAGACATGTTGAGATTTAAGACAATACCTT